TGGAGTCGCTAGATAACTAATCATATTAAATCGGATAGATGAAAAATTGTTCTTTCCATGATAGAATGTAAATCAAATTCAAGATATTATTAGGAGAAAAATAGTCACTTTTGATTTTTAAATAGTATAGAGTATAGCCGCGCAACTATGCTCCTTAATTTGAATATTTAAATTGGTGTCGGCCTTTCTCTCTATTTGTCACCTTCACTCTCATCTTCCAATTCCGTGTTTTGAGATGTGATGATGCATCAAAGAATGATGTCATACCAGTTTACGAGTAAATTGAATAACATACTTATTTTAGATATTGATAATGTTGGTGATGGCGGTAGGATTGGATAAATTGTGTTTGTAACTGATTAAGATAGGGGTGGTGGTGTTTATTGCTTTTAACGTGGTGTATAGTTTTCCTAAGTTTTCTTTCCCTTTCTATTTTTCTTCTAGGGTTTGAAAGCTTTTGTAATGGTGTGGCTTGATGAAGCACGAGATTTACATAGTATAGCACAATGCAAAAATTCCTAAATGTTACACACTTGAATTTTTAAATAGTACTTCTGAACGGCTATACTGTTTAAATATATGAATATTTACACAATATAGCCGTGCGGCTATTCTCTCAGAATATTTAATCAGTCTAGCCGATCGGCTATACTCTCTGGCCGATCGACTATACTCTCTGAATGTGTACGAATATTTAAACAGTAGAGCCGCGCGGCTATACTATATATATATATAAATGATATATTTTAAGAGTATAGCCTATTTAATAATATTCCAATTTTCCCCGCATTGATTTTTTATATTCCTTGATATGATATGGGGCCGCATCTAAGACAGACCAGTACAATGAAATAGGCCACTCTTATCACTCAACACCATGGACCGAAAAGCAAGTAGGGGATGTATGACCTATGGGCCTATCTATTTATTGTGACTGGCCCTTAAGCTTTGTCCACTAAGGTGAGCTCTTCAAATATGGAGTTCAAGCAAACCATAGTGCACTATTGGAGCGTAATAAGGGTTAACGTTGATTGTCCGATAAATTGTGAATACGAATCGTTGATTAAGTTAATTTTTGTTAAAATATGTGATTCAGATTTACTGGCAACAACATATAAGTGTATAGGGACAAACTCAAGATTTCAAAGTGAAGTGAGTTAGATTTATATTACATGTGGATTGTTAGATTTTAGATTGAGTTAAACCTTAAAACCTATATACCAAATACTAATTATAAGAAGAAGAAAAAAGAAGAAGAAAAAAACTCACATGGGCTATTTGGTTGTGGCTGATTTGTGTTGTTCTTCTTATTTGCCAACTCTTTGGGTTGTTGTTTCCTTTCCCATTTTGGTTTTGTTTAGGCCTTTCATGTGGTTTGTGTTTTTGTACATTGTTGTTATGTTGTACCGGGTTTTGTCATCTTTCCTTCGTTATAACTTATTTTTTTATACAAGCGTTATTGGGAAAGGGAGGAATCGAACTTAGGACTTTGAGTGCAGAATAAATATTTTTAACCACTTGAGTTACAAGTCTCATAACTTATACTCAGGAAATTGTTGTTAACACTCCAAAAAAAAAAAGTAATCTTTTATTTATGAGTGCAACTTACCACTTATAGTTAGGAAATTGTTGAGTTATATTTCTGTGATGGGGGAGTGAAGAACAAACTGGTTTGAAGTGCATAATTGGAGTTCAAGCAAACCATAGTGCATAATTGGAGCTTAATAAGTGTTAACCTTAATTGTCCTATAAATTGTGAATATAAACCGTTGATTAACTTAATTTTTATTGAAATATGTGATTTAGATACACTGACAACAACATATAAGTGTGCAGAGACAGACTCACTTGGGCTATAGCCCTAACTAAACAGTCTATTGCCCTTCCTTGTAAGTGCGGCAAAAAAAGAGAATGCAATATCAAAAGTAAATATTTTTTGGAGTGGCTAGATAACTAATCATATTAAATCGAATAGATGAAAAATTGTTCTTTCCATGATAGAATGTAAATCAAATTCAAGATATTATTAGGAGAAAAATAGTCACTTTTGATTTTTAAATAGTATAGAGTATAGCCGCGCAGCTATGCTCCTTAATTTGAATATTTAAATTGGTGTCGGCCTTTCTCTCTATTTGTCACCTTCACTCTCATCTTCCAATTCCGTGTTTTGAGATGTGATGATGCATCAAAGAATGATGTCATACCAGTTTACGAGTAAATTGAATAACATACTTATTTTAGATATTGATAATGTTGGTGATGGCGGTAGGATTGGATAAATGTGTTTGTAACTGATTAAGATAGGGGTGGTGGTGTTTATTGCTTTTAACATGGTGGTGTATAGTTTTCCTAAGTTTTCTTTCCCTTTCTATTTTTCTTCTGGGGTTTGAAAGCTTTTGTAATGGGGTGGCTTGATGAAAGCTTTTGTAATGGTGTGGCTTGATGAAGCACGAGATTTACATAGTATAGCACAATGCAAAAATTCCTAAATGTTACACACTTGAATTTTTAAATAGTATAGCCGCACGGCTACACTGTTTAAATATATGAATATTTACACAATATAGCCGGTCGGCTATTCTCTCAGAATATTTAATCAGTCTATACTCTCTGAATGTGCACGAATATTTAAACAGTAGAGCCGCGCGGCTATACTATATATATATATATATATATATAAATGATATATTTTAAGAGTATAGCCTATTTAATAATATTCCAATTCTCCCCTCGTTGATTTTTAATATTCCTTGATATGATATGGGGCCGCATCTAAGACAGACCAGTACAATGAAATAGGCCACTCTTATCACTCAACACCATGGACCCAAAAGCAAGTAGGGGATGTATGACCTATGGGCCTATCTATTTATTGTGACTGGCCCTTAAGCTTTGTCCACTAAGGTGAGCTCTTCAAATATGGAGTTCAAGCAAACCATAGTGCACTATTGGAGCGTAATAAGGGTTAACGTTGATTGTCCGATAAATTGTGAATACGAATCGTTGATTAAGTTAATTTTTGTTAAAATATGCGATTCAGATTTATTGGCAACAACATATAAGTGTATATGGACAAAGTCAAGATTTCAAAATGAAGTGAGTTAGATTTATATTACATGTGGACTGTTAGATTTTAGATTGAGCTAAACCTTAAAACCTATATACCAAATACTAATTATAAGAAGAAGAAAAAAAAAGAAGAAAAAAACTCACATGGGCTATAGCCCTAAATAAACAAGTCTATTTTCGGTCCTTGTAAGTCGTCAAAAGAAAAAAAAGGCAAAATCAAAAGTAAATGTGTTTTGGAGTGGCTAGAGAATTAATTATATTATTTCCACAAAAAAGAAAAAAGAAAAAAGAGAATTAATTATATTAAATGGGATATATAAAAAATTGTTCTTTCCATGATAAAATGTAAAGAAAATTCAAGATATTATTAGGAGAAAAATGGTTAATAATTTGTCCATTGTCAAATAACCTAAATTAACGACACATGCATTCATATAGGGGGACCACACATGACATATATATTGCGTGTGTATCCCTGCTACTTGGGAACTTCGGAGGACGTGTTTTGATGCATGATCAACCTTCAATATTAATGCATCTTAATATAATTGATTGTACGAAATGACTTACATTTCAAACATGTCCTTTTCTAATATGTAACGTGGATTTTATGAAGTAATGACTTTTTTTTGACAACGTGGCAATAAGTTGCATTGTACATCTACATACCACCTTATGTATAATCTTTCTAATAGAGATGAAGTCCAGCCAATACAATGGGGCCCGTTTGTTTAACAAAAGAAGTGGTATCCAAATAAAATTTCGTATTTAATAAATAGGAAAAAACAATTACATAGGGTTTTTCTGAAAGACAAGTAGAGATCAAATGACAACACCCAAATATAGAATCCGATTTCCATAAATATGATAAATATTTTCATCTTTTTCTCTTTTGTGTTTGTCCCGATATTATTTGGGCGGTTAGGTGAGATTTGCCCCAAAAGAAGATCTTTTGCAAACAAGATTGCAGAGAAGTAATAACATATTTTCTCCAACCATCACAATTTACTTCTGAACTTAACAAATGAAGAAATGAGACCAAACACTTTCTTCCCAGAACTAACTTGTGCATCAAATTCACGTCTCTACAAAACTAACGCGTGCATCAAATTCTCACATTACTTTTCCGAATACAGAAAGTGACATGGAAGCAAAGGCAGAGGGAAAATAATTGGTGAAAGCCACCCAAAAATATGAAAAGAAGATGACATTTAACATCTTACTAAACCCTAATAAATGGGGCAGTTAGTTGTTCGTTCAATTTGATAAGAAGAAAGGAAAAAAAGTCGCACTTAATAAAGCTTGTCCATTCTTTTTGTTATCTGTTGAAGTGATCGAAAAACTATAGTGTAGTGTTAGAGTATGATCATGAAGTATAACTCGGTTGTATTATAGACATATTTATTGATATTATACATTAACGTGTGAAATCTTAACTACATTATCCACTCATATTATAATACGTGAATGTAACCGTAATCTAATATACTATAATAATTATCAAAGTGATAATACAAAACCAATGACCAGTCGAAGCTATATTACAAAATGTTTTGAGTCTTTGCTATCAGATTTGCACTCACTCAGTGACAAGTTCCATCTGCCAACAAACACCCTATATTGTTTATTGTTAATCTCACGCACTTGTCTTGTGCCCCCTCCTGGGCCTCCGCGTGTCCCAATCGAAATAAATGAATTGAAGTGAGTGAGGCAAGGGCAGTTGAAGTAATTATGATCCAGTCGACAATGCTGGTGGAGTGTTATTTCTTGACCCATCAACTCTCTTACATGGTGCATTTCCCTCTATAAATGCTGAAGCTACTTGCTCTTGTTGGTACCATATTCACAAGCTCAGCTCTGAGTATTCTTTCTTGCTTGCTTCCGTTCATCCATCCATTAAAGCTTTCTGTTGCAATTTTTTTGAAGTCTCAATGGGTTTTCGTCTTCCTCACATCTTTGTTTTTCTCACTGTAAAGCTTTGTAACTTTGATTTGTTTTCATTTTTCATGTCTGCTAATTTAATTTTCTCATCTCATACGTACTAATGGGAGTTCAAAATGTTGCAGCTCACACTGGTGGCAAGCCACGCTGCTCTACCACCTCAGCTTTACTGGAACTCTGTCTTGCCAAACACTCAAATGCCAAAATCCATCAGTGAACTTCTCCAGCCTGGTTAGTATTTAGAATCCCATACAAGCTCGTATATTTTGTGTTTATTCTGTAAGTGATTTGATCCTTTGGCATGGTAAATTTGTATTGTAAAAGAGGAAGGGAGGGGAGTGGCTTAAAAGGAATACTTCATTAAAATCGGATTCTCTAGCTTCCATAGAACATTAATTTTGAGTTACATGTACTGTTTTTTAAAATTGTTACATATATATATATATATATATATATATATATCAATAAAAGGCACAATAAAAAAAGTCATGCCAAATTGACCAGGATAGAATTGTGTAAACTGTTATTGGCACTTTAAAAAAATCATTTAGCACTTCTCTCCGTGCAATTTTTCCCTCATGATTTTACGGGGGAGGGGTGCGTAACGATTTTTGTGCGTGCTAATGGTAGCTCCCTGTAAAACCTTTTATATATGATCTGAAAATTTTAAGAAACAAGTCTCAGTTCTAACTAAATTTCACTCATCTTCTCACTTGTTCTCCATTCATGTGGTTAAATTTTGTAGACTTTGCTGAAGAAAAGGGCACCACTGTCGGCGTTGGGAAGGGAGGGGTGAATGTCCAAGCCGGGAAAGGGAAGCCAGGTGGCGGCACCAACGTGAATGTCGGAGGCAAAGGCGGTGGTGTCGGGGTGACCACCGGGAAGTCTGGAGGAGGAACCAACGTTGGTGTTGGCAAAGGAGGAGTATCTGTGAACACAGGGCACAAGGGCAAGCCTGTGTATGTTGGAGTGAAGCCAGGACCAAGCCCTTTCGTCTACAATTATGCAGCCACTGAGACTCAGCTCCATGAAAATCGAAACGTAGCTCTTTTCTTCTTGGAGAAGGACATACGTCCTGGCACAAGCATGACCTTGAAGTTCTCTGGAAACTCAAACACCGCGGCTTTCGTGCCACGCGAAACAGCGGATTCCATCCCCTTCTCGTCCAACAAGCTGCCAGAGATTTTCAGCCAGTTTTCGGTGAAGCCAGAGTCTGTGGAAGCTGATATAATCAAGGGGACAATTGAAGAGTGTGAGAGCTCAGGCATCAGAGGAGAGGAGAAGTATTGTGCTACCTCTTTGGAGTCAATGGTTGACTTCAGCACTTCCAAGCTTGGAGGAAACATTCAAGCAATCTCAACAGAGGCAGAGAAAGGAGCCACATTGCAGAAGTACACAATTACCCCTGGAGTGAAGAAGCTGGCAGCTGATAAATCAGTTGTGTGCCACAAGCAGACCTATCCTTACGCTGTTTTCTACTGCCATGCAACAAAAACAACAAGAGCTTATGTGGTGCCTCTGAAGGGTGCTGATGGGTTGGAGGCTAAAGCAGTAGCAGTTTGCCATACAGACACATCAGAGTGGAACCCAAAGCATTTGGCCTTCCAAGTGCTAAAAGTTAAGCCAGGAACCGTTCCCGTCTGCCATTTCCTTCCGAAAGATCACATTGTCTGGGTTCCAAAGAAATCTACATGATTTTTTGAACCCAGATATGATCAGTTCTACATATATGATCCCCTTAGCATAGTTTGAGTGCCAAACAGTTTGAAATTAAACCGATCGAATCCATCCGATTACTTCTCGTCACTATGTATTTCAGCAACCTACATATATACTCATAAAGCGTGCTGTAGTGGACATGTTCTACTTTCAGTTAATAGATAATATGATTTGGCCTTCTGTTGCTACTTGTGTTCTGCTTATAATTTTATCCCTGAATCAGAAATTAAATGCTCCATTTTAAATAGAATAAAATTCAGGCTACTACATCAAACATCTCAGGGTACATTACCAGCTATATATAACGAAAATCAAACATCTCAGAAATTAAATGCTCCATTTGTGAGCAGGAGACGTATTATTCATTTATTATTATAAATCACAACATGAAAATTATGTTATTTTACACAAATTCGAAACGAAAATTGAAGAAGTTGAGAGGTTAGCTTGCTTCATCACTACAACAATACGGACACTAAGATGGAATAGACCCACCAATATGCCCAACGTCCCTGCTGCAATATGATGAGAGGCTATTCCTCCCGGAACAAAAGGATCAAAACCCTCCACACCCCATGCTGGATTTACGGATTGTACCCTTCCGGTTAGTCCTTAAGGATCGGACACCCATATTCCAAAACCATACAATCCTGTTACATGAAATGCACCAAAACTTGGTTTATGATTCACTCAATTCTTTAATTTTCCGATCCAAAACAAGGAAGAATAAAGGACCAAAAAAGAAAAAAAAAAAGAAAAAGAAGCAGGTAACTCGAAACCAAATTATAAAAGAAAGATTTCGTTGCAATCAATATAGTAATAATAAGTAACATAATGATTTCTAACTATATTTATAATTAAGAATGGGCATAGATGACACTAAACCGACAACGGAACCTCTTAAATTTGTCGTCTCTGTTTACAAGAGGACAGACTTCTATATGGGTGTAAAAGTGTTGGGTGTTTAGGTTTTAGAAAACACATTCATATGAAGTTGACGGTTTTAATTGGACCGTCATCTAAGTTAAATGCGGAACTTCAATTTTTAGCAAACAGGATATCAAAAGGACAAAAGGATTCGAATCCGAGAACAAACCCTTTTTCATTAAGTTAGACCCGCTGGCAAAAGGGTTGATTGTAAGAAAGGAATGATTGTAAGAACGGGATGATTGTCGTATTTTTATGGAAGAGAAGTACAACGTTGTGCGACATTATGGGTATAGAACTTGGTGGGTCAGGCTAATTTGCTAGCTTTCTACTTATTAGCTCTACAGCTCTTTCGTTGATTAGAAGGCTTACATGCCTATTTATATGCAAGGTTGCCAACATGCCCTGCAGCCTTGTCATATCGACTTGGACATATCAATCTGCCAACCCACTATCACGAACTCCTACACAATTTCAGCACATGTGGGTATCTTCTAGTTTCTATAAATCTCAAATGTGCCACTTGCTGTTGTTGCTTACCATATGAGCTAGCCCTGGTTTTCTTGTTTCTTTCTACTGGAGTATTTTTTCCCCCTATTGCAAAAGTTGAGGCATGACGGAGTTTCGTCTCTCCCACATCTTTGCTTTTCTCACAGTAAGCTCTGTAATTAATTTGAGTTTTCCCTATGATTTTAGTGAAGTCACATATACTGCTGATTTCAATTTCTTTATTTCTTACAATGAGAGTTCAAATGTACAGCTCACACTGGTAGAAAGGGCGAACCATGCTGCTTTACCGCCACCTCAACTTTACTTGTTGAACTCCTTCCTGCTAGACACATCAATCTCCAAAGCTCTCAGTGGTTAGTTCAGTAAGCTCCTCTTCAACTATTTTACTGTTGACTTTTGTATCCATTTTTGTACATACCCTCTCAATTTGTATTTACAACCTTAGTTCAATGAGCCCCTGTTTGGCCGGTTGTTTTAAACCCCCGACACCTTGGTTCGTAGCCACATGTTCTAATCCTCTGAGCTACATACTCCACCTCGTCTTCACTGGATCTGTTCTTTGGAGTACCCTAAAAAAGGAACATTTCATCTCCCGAACCTCCTTTAACCATTTTACTGATGGCCAAATTTTGCACTGATCATCGTCCTTGCAGTTCGTTTTTCTCTTGCATTTTCATTCGTGTAGTTTAATTTGGTTCCCCTGCTAATAATCAGTTGTTCACTTACAAGGGGGATGCAAAAGCTGAAAAACCCATGTTTGGTTACAACCAAGTGCTAAGGCCGAAAAACTCATGTTCGGTTACATCCAAGATGCTGTGGCTGACAATCAGATCGACCCAACCCGAGTAATTTTCTTCGTAGAGAAGGACGTACATACCGGCACAACTATGAAATATCGCTTAGCCGGAAATTCAAGTAGGGTGCCTTTAATGTCCCGCAAAACTGCAGAAGCGATCCCCTTCTCATCCAGTAAACTGCCAGAAATTCTCAACCAGTAATCAGTGAAACCGGGGTCTGTGGAAGCCGCTATAGTTAAGGAAACCATTCAACATTGTGAACGTCCAGCGGCTAGAGGAGAAGAAAACTACTGTGCCAGCTCTTTGGAGTCGATGATTGTGTTGAAAAAGTAATGCATATTTATGTAACTACACAATTCTAGAAAACTTACAAACTAGATGATGGAATGTCGGCAACACAAAAAAAAAATATGCAGAGAATATTTGTTAAATTTAATACACACTTTAAGATTATAGAAAAATCTAGAAAAAATTAGAAAACTCAAGAAAGTTCACTAAATTTGACAAAGTCTAGCTTGAAGAGATGATTAGAAAAGTCCTAATAAAAATATTGTAATAAAGTAATAATATTATAAAGTAGTGGCTAGGAGAAGAAGCCAAGTCCACCGACTTGGACTAGTGTATAAATAGATGTAGTCTCTTGTACAAAGCTAGGAGAGAGAAGAGGCCAATAAGCCAAAGGGCCAATAAGCCTAGCAAACAGTTTCTAGTTGTTGAAGGCCAATAAGCCTAGTCCTCTATAAAGCCTTGTACCCATCTATTGTTGAATAAATAAAATCACTCTTTTGTTCTCTAAAAACCCAACAATATTCTAAATGAAGCCACACGCTTGTGGCTAGAGAAAAGATAACAAGTCGGTGGGACTAAAGCATGGCGGCAAGCCTCAACTATAAATAGACATGCAATGTAATCTAGCAAAGTGGAGTCAACAAAAAGAACTCCCAAACTAGATGTGGAGTGAACCAATAAACTCCCGAACTAAATGTGGAGTAAACAAGCCAACTCCCAAACTATATGAGAGCTATAAGAGAGCTACCCAAAACTAGTTTAAGGGAGCCAACAAGAGAGTCTCCCAAACTAAGTTACGTGGAGGAGCCAATAAGCTCACCCAATAAGCTCACCAAGCTAAGAGAGAGTGTGATGGCCAATAAGCCACAAGCTATGAAGAAGGCCAATTAGCCTACACCTATGTACTATTTTGTGAAACCCCATATTTTTAAAATATGTATATTAATATTTTATAAAATTAAATATTTATAATTATTAGTTTTCAAAACTATATAATTGATAATATATATATATATATAAGTTGTATGGCAAGCTATGTGAATCTAGCCATTAACTAGTATAGCCTATCAAATCTTATTGCATGGCTTTAACTATATCAATTCATTTCAACCTTATTTAATATTTATTATATATATATATATATATATATATAACACTTTACAAAAGCATTTAGAAAGGTTTTGGGTGTTAGTTTATATAATGGGGAATTCGGAATCACAGTGGTAAAATGCATGGTATGTGACATGCAGATTTACTTGCCCTATTATATAGATTAACGGGTTGGGAAAAATTGAAGTACATTCATGCATTGCATAAATTGTACATTATAAATCTCACTAATCACATAAGACATAGGACTCCTACTGAGCATGTAGTGCTCACCCAATATTGAATCTATTGTAGGTTTTGAATCTGAAGTTTAGTTTGTGACAAGGAAACAAGAAGAACGAGTTGTGGATAGTTTTGAATGTTTTGTTGAAAGTTTGTTACTTGTTATTTTGCTTGTAAAATTACAATGTAAATTACATTGTTTTAAATAGAAGTTTATGTTCAATCTTCATGTTTCTTGATATTTAATTAGGGAGAGGGTTTCTACAGTTTCTTCTGCTTGTCATACCATTATTAATCGTGTGCGTGCCTCTAGTACTCTAGCCAAGGGTCATATGTTGAATAAGGTGAGTGACTTGTGTACTATTCATTCCTTTGGGGTGCGCTGTAAGCCCAACCCCAATTCCAAAATTATTGAGGTTACATGGCATCCTCCTCGCTTTGGTTTGGTCAAAATTAATACTGATGGCACTCGCAAAAGTGACTCTGGTAAAGCAGGTAGTGGTAGTGTGTTTTGAGATTATCATGGTTGTGTACTTGGGGCATTTAATTTGCTCCAATTTAGATGTCCACAGTGCAGTACATGCTAAAGTTTTAGATGTCATCAAGGCCATTAAGCTTGCTTGGCTTCACGCTTGGATTGAAACTGATTCGTTATTAGTTACTCAATTCTTTCGCTCTCCTCATTTGGTCCCTTGGCACCTGCGGGTTGATTGGAAGAATTGCTTGCATCGTCTCCATCACATGTTGTTTAAGATTTCTCATATATCTTGCGAGGGTAATCATGGAGCTGACGCTTTGGCAAATCACGGTGCTCTGGGCTCTGGTTTCACATGGTGGGACACTGCACCTTCATTTATTTTGTCCTTTTGTCATCGGGACTAGTTGGGCATGCCCAGTTACCGTTTTACTTAGTCTCTTTTTGTTTATTTTTTAGAGTTTTGGTTTCTTGGGTCCATATATTGATGTGCGCCCTTTATGTCAGTCTTTTTTTCTGCAGGGTTTTGGTTTGGTCCCCCTATTGTTCTTGTTTTCTTTACATGTTTCTTTTCTATTAATAAAATTATGATCAAAGGAATGGGTGGGGAGCTCCCGGAATGTATTGGTCTCTTATTTGAGGGTTGTGGATGTTTGTGCATCCAATGACCGATACTAAGGAGCTAATCTCGCCTAATCTCTTGTTTTATTTAAAAAAAGAAAAAAAAGAATACTACCACCTCTTACTACGAACCCATACATCTTTGTTTGAAATTGTTGTTCTAGTTGGCAAAGAGATTTCAAGATAACCATCTTGCATTTTTGTTACAACAAGTAAGAAATAATCTTAGCCTCTCACATTCTTTCATAGTTACTAAAATACGAAATGGGAAAAAAACCTACGTGATTTATTCAGAATTTTTTTGGCAAGTTACAATTGAAAAGTTCGGTCACTATATAATATTTTAATATATATTATTTTTATTCAATAATATGTGAAAATTTTGTGTGTATTATTGAAAATTTTGTAAATAACATGTGTATTAAACATGAAAAATACATACGTACGTGTACAATGTGTATTGTATGTTTGCTTTTTAAAAAAATATGGATGTGTATGGAAAACGGAAGTAGTATTGAAAAATACGTACTTACATGTATAATACAAGTATTAAATGGGAAAATGCATGCTAAATTCTTTACATCAGAAATAAATAAAAAATTAAAAGGGGATAATAGCATAATAGTAATGGATAATTCTCTAAACTACTCTTATTGATAAAGAAAAATCAGGGAAATTTTTTTTTAATTAAAAAAAAAAGTAAAGCCGAGCGGCTCTTCTCATTAGATACATTATTTAAAAGGTATAGCCGCGCGGCTATACTATTTATTAGAGAAAAAAAAAGTACACAGAACCCGCCTAGCCCGCCTAGGCGGCCGATTTTTTGAAAACTTGACTTTCTTCATCTTCCGCGTTTTTACGCAACAGATTTTTATGAGTACAATGAGTTAGATCATGAGAAATTTGCAACAGAACCTAAGCATACTGACAAACAAGATTTGGGAGTTTTGGCTGGGAAAAGAAAATTTCAAGAACACTATTTGTGTTGGGTTTACGTTAAATGTTTTCATGTAAAAAATAGAGATATCCCTCCTGTTGCTGATATGAGATATGAATCATTCAAAGTAGGACATAGCCTCTTCAGGGTTGGTGCTGGGAAGATCATTGTTCATCAGCTCTAAAGCCACTCCTTGGTTTCCATAAATTAGGGTGAACCTTGGGAGTTTGGGTAATCACTGGGAGTATTCGAAGTGGATTTTGGGTAATCACTACAATTTTTTTTAAGTATCCATTTTGGGTCCATATTGCCTGAATTGTGAAGTAATTGGCAATTATGGTGCCACAGGAAAAGCCCTGAAGGATGTCATTGCTGTTGGTATCGGTGGCAGCTTCTTCAAACAGGTCCTCTTAAATATATTATTTCAGGAGTATAGCCGCACGGCCATACTGTTTAAATATATATAATATTCCAGGAGTATGGCCGCGCGGCCATACTGTTTAAATATAGTATAGCCGCGCGGCTATACGATACCCGCCTAGCCCGCCTAGGCGGCCCATTTTTGAAAACTTGAATGGCGTTTTTTTATTTAGATTTATTTTTTACTGGCGGTTCTGGCATCTCTGCAAATACATCAAGCTAGGGTTTTAGGGACTCACGTTTATCAACAACATAAAGGTTAGCTCTTCCCAACAATTCACTCTGTTTTTTTCTTATGTGCATTCTTTATGTTGTGACTTAGAGTGCTTTCGTTTGAAATTTCTCAAATTGTCGATAGCTCTGAACAAGTAGTCGAGTTGTTAAAATGGAGCTTTGTGATAAATATTGGGCTCTTTCTATTGAATAAGTCCATGTTTCGCCTGAATTTCGTCTCTTTAAAAATTGAAACCCTAGAAGCTGAGAAATTGCAATTGAAAATCAGTATTTTCCATTGTCTGTTTTGGTTTATGTTATGTTTGGTTGCTAGGAAGTTGATGATGAACAAATATTCTCTTAACTAAATATTCAGTTTCATGTTTCTTGTGTTGTATTGATTAGTTTAGTTACAAACTGAGTTGGTTTACTTAACTGACACAAAAGGAGTATGCTGCTTTCTGGGGCTCCAATTGTTGAGTCATTTTTCTTTTGAATTTTTTCTTTTTAAATTTCTTTTTTGTCAATTCTCAGTAATGTAATCTGGTTGAAATGCAGCTTTTGGATCCATAAGATGGGCAAAAAGAGTAAATAAAAAACTCCCAGAGAGATGCAAGATAATACAGCTGCTGTAGAAGAGGAAAAACCCTCATCTTCGGCCAAAAATTGCTGAATCATTGGATTTATGTTTCAATTACTGGGCATATGAAGCCTCATCTGATCCTACTTTCTGCAACAGGAACACTTGGAGAGCAATGAGGGTGATCCTGAGTTACTTGTTTACATTCCGTGAGTATCCACTTTTGTTGTTTTATGTGTTATCTTCAGGACATGAGTTAAAGAATGCATAAACATGAAATGGATGGGGACATGGAGGTCCATTGGTTGACTAGTTGTACCCATTTTTCCATATTTTCATTCAATTTCAGTGGTAACATGTTTTGATAGATCTCCATAGTCGGATCTGTATGAGAGTATGGGATTGGATGAATATAGTGTTTTCTAATTAATGTTGTCTACGCCACAATGCAGGCTGCATCCCTCAAAGAAAAGATTAACCGAACGTTTGGTGGAGAGCATGTACGTTTCAAGTTTATCTTTGGTCGAGTATTATGTGGATAAATATGGAATTAAAATGCTAATTTGAACACTTTTATCTGCAATTAGAGAGAAGTGTTCCCTATTTTAAAACAAAATTTGTTTTTATGAACTACCAGTAGAACAATAGCTAGTTGGTGTCTTCTATTTAAAATTAGGATGCCCAAATTTCTGACCTTTAACTGTCTGAAATCACAAAAAACTTATATTTGATAGCTTTATAGGATTTATGCTAAAGATGAGACCAGCTTATTTCTGAAACCATTATCAGGTGATTCTTCTGCATTCTGTTTTTCTTTTTATGGGTGGTGCCTTCAGATAAACAGCACAAAAAATAGATCAGTGCTTCATGTAGCCCTTCACGCTCCAAGGGGGATGCAGTTATACAGAGTGATGGGAAAAATGTGGTCCCAGATGTTTGGAAAGTTCTGGACAAGATCCAAAAAATTTCTGAGAGTATTCGAAGTGGATTTTGGGTAATCACTACAATTTTTTTCAGTATCCATTTTGGGTCCATATTGCCTGAATTGTGAAGTAATTTGCAATTCTGGTAGGTTGGTGCCACAGGAAAAGCCCTGAAGGATGTCATTGCTGTTGGTATCGGTGGCAGCTTCTTAGGTCCTCTTCAAACAGGTTTAGATGATGCTTTCCATTGTCAATTTATAACTCTATTTTGCAGTCTTGTGTACTATTTAGTGTGATTTTCCTTGTGAAAATGATTAAGCTTGCTTTGGAATAAACATTGGGCAGTGTTCACTGGTTTGATTATATTATTTAAGAATTATAGCCACGCGGCTATACTTTTTATTATTTACAGAATAAAGCCGTGCGGCCATACCTTTTTAATATATTATTTCAATAGTCTAGCCGCGCGGCTATACTATTTGTTTTAAAGGATCCGCCTAGCCCGCCTAGGCGGCCGATTTTTCAAAAACTTGAATGGCGTTTTTTTTTTTGGATTTTTTTTTTTCTGGCGAGTTTGGCATCTCTGCAAATACATCAAGCTAGGGTTTTAGCGACTATATTGAAGACATCAAATCAGGTTGAGAGGAAAAATGTGAGGGAGAAGAAATTTTTTGAAGTTGCTCATAACTTCGATTCCAGTTCTTCAATTAACTGCATCTAGAATATTGGTTTTGATCATTATTTCATCCCTTTCAATCATATTTCAATGCATTCAGATGCTGAAGAACTGTTCAACGAGCATAAAGATCAATTTTCTCCTATATGAGCAGTCGAGTGAGTGCAAAACTATGAGGGACAACAGCATAAGTTATGCGTCTGCGGCAGCAAAGGTATTGGGTTATCTTTAATTTCTCTTAGAGATTCAATCCCACACGAGCCTAAACTTATAACTAGTGATCCCGATCAATCCTCAGAGACATATTATTTATTTATAATCACAACATGAAAATTATGCCATTTAAATCAAACAAGTTGAGAGGTTACCTTGCTACACAAATCCATGGCATCGGCGTGAATCATGATAGCAGAAGAGTGGTGAGACTGGTTCAAGTGAAAATCGATTTACAAGCATTTGAAAACCATAACAGGGGTTGGTCAGAACTTTAAAAAAAAAAAGAAAAAAAAAGAAGAAAAAAATTACCCGGTGAAACCGATAAGCTTAGCTCACGCAGAGTGTAAGGTTTTGTCAGGAGGTCGAGAAGTTTGAGAACGCAATCCGTGCTAAATGAGAGAGCTGAATCGAAAGGGATGAGAGTGATGCAAAATGAAGAAAGTGTGATAGAAACTGAGTTGAAAGAAAAAGAGAATGCAGGAACCAAAAGGGAAATCAGGAGCCTGCCCAGTGGGATAATATGGTGTGGATTGGCACGTGAGAGATTAGGAAATGGCTCTCAAGGCCAAGGTGGAGAGGAAAGGGTCTTGTTTGGCTGTCCGATCACGTCACCTGTGTCGTCTCACAAGAAAAGAAATTCTTTGGGTTGGAGGTGGAATTAGCAACGACCGGGTGAAAGTCCAAATACTAGGAGTCCTCTTTTCTTGTGAGAGTAGTCGCACGAGTGATGATGTAATCAGATTGCGTCACACATTGTCAAAGTGGGAGCGTCACTGAAAAGAAATCCTCTATATTGAGAATGGGATCATCATTAGAGTGGAACTATCATGTGACATTGTAGTAGTATAAATGTAACACGTGTTAAAATTTAATGATTAGTTTCAATTTTTTAAACATATCACATCCTTATTGGCTTGTTTTGTCATGTATCCTGCTACGTTAAAAAATAGTTATGTATAAGTTTTTGTCATCTAAGTGTGACGTAACAGTTTAAAAAAGAAAAGAAAAAAGAAAGTATGACGTGGTAATGCTAAATGCTTGAGAATGAGAATCACTTGAGTGATATGTAATGGAATCACGTCTTGAGAGAATCACACGAATAATGTTATTGAATCACGTATTGTCAAAGTGGGAGTATTATAGATTAGGGGATCCTCTTGATTGAGGATGGCATTATCATTGGACTAGGTGGAACCCAAATGCAGGAATCCTCTTTTTGTTTGAAAATGGTTGCACGAATGACTTGATGAGATTGCACGAGTGATGTAACCAGATCTCGTCACTCAAGATTGTCTTGTCAAAGTGGGAGTGTCACAGAAAAAGGGATCCTCTGAATTGGGAGAGGGATTAGCATTGGACTGGTGGAACCCAAGTGCAGGAGTCCTCTCTTTTCTGAAAATGGTCGCACGGATGACGTGATGAGATTGCGCCGCCAAAGAATTTCTAGTCAAAGCGGGACTATTATGTTACAGTGTAGTAGTATAAAGGTGACACGCGTTAAAATTTAATGATTAGTTCTTATTTCTTGAACATAATACATCTTTAATTAGCTTGCTTTGTCACGCTATTGTGCTACATTACAAAAATAGTTACGTATAAATTTTGTCATCAAAGTTAAATCAGGAATCGTCCTTGTCTGCCATTTTCTTCCGAGGGTGATATTGCTTGGGATCCAAACTAGAAACCTACGCTATTTGAATCCACAGCTCGTTCCATTGTAGCAGTTTGAAAATCGGACCCTTTGTGCTTGTAGTTGTAAGAAGAATCCCATAAGAATTAATGCCATGAGAATGGACTGTTACTCATTAGCAATAAAGACGTGAAAGAAAACAGTATAGAATTAATATGTGTTAACTCCTTGACGACACTAGACTAGATAAGTGTATTATTAATTAATATTCCTAATTTAAGTAATGTATGTTTTCAAATATAATTAACCAACATTAATGAAAATCCCTAATTTAAGGACTGCATGCTTTTCTATTTATAATTAAATCCAAATTGTCATAAGTCATAACCCCACTTCTTTCCATGGAAAGCATTGCTTGTTTTAACCAGAAATATAAAGTGAATTTCCCTGGATGTATAAAATATTTATCATCAGAACATTTTGAAAAGAAAAGCTGCAAATTGTGAGCATAGACCCATGGAATCGGCATGAACCATATGATAGCAGAAGAGTTGGTCAGAACTTAAAAAAAACTTAGAAAGATGAGAGATTACCCAGTGAAATCGAAAAGGTTACCTCATGCAGAGTGTAGTGAGACTTTGTCAGAAGGTCGAGAAATTTGAGAAAGCAATCGGTGCTAAATGAGCTAAATCCAAAGTGATCAGAGTTTTGCACTGAGGAGTAGAAAGTGAGATAGAAGAAACTGATGAGTTGAGAGTAAAGGAGGATTAGGAGGCTGCCCAGCGGGATATTAAGGTGTGGATTGGCAAATGAAAGATTAGTAAATGCATGTCTATGTGGAGAAGGTCTTGGTCCGGCAGTTCGATCACGTTATACTGCATTTTCACAAGAAAAATAAGGATCCTCTGGATTTGGGGTGGAATCAGTTTAAGGCCGGGTGAAACCACAATACACGAGTCTTCCTTTTTTGTGAGAATAGTCGCATGGATGATGTGATCAGAGTGCGCGGTCAGAGACTTTCTCATCAAAGTGGGAATGTCACCAAACTTGCACATCTTTTTGTTTTCTTCTCCGTGTATTATTTTGTTATTTAAATTATTGTTTTTTTTTCCTCATCATCAAACAAAAAAAAAAAAAAAAAAAAAAAAAATCATATATGATGCGCTAATTCTAGATGCTTGAGAATGATAAAAATTTCAATCCGGCAAAACTATAGAATTGTATGTGTGGAAGGGTGAAACCGTAACACAAGTATTAAAGAAAAAAGTCTATTAAACTATTTATTTCTTATTCTGGTTTGGACTTGGAAGATTAATCATCTAATATGGGCGGCTGTACTTTCCTTTTACTTTTCTTTATAGATTGAATACAGGATCCACTCTTTATGCTAAATTGGTCTCTAATGGAGTTTTCTATTCACTTGACATAAAAAGATGAATTGCGAGGAAAAACATAAAATAAAATGAAGCAATGAAAGATGGACAATCTGCCTAATAGTGACATTCAATAGGTTACTGTTCAAGACTGACATCCATGAAGTTACGTTTAACGTGGATCGGCATAACAATTTGATTCCACCACTCACACCGAAAAATAATAGTTTTAATTATTTATATTAATTTAACAATTCAAGGTAAGAAAGGGACTTTAAAATCATTTTCTCAAAATATTGTTCAATTTACTAAATAGAAGCAAACTGGACCACACGCTATATCTTGCATTGTATTGCTAGTCAGCACAATACCTCAAGACAGAAACTAACTCCACTCCAAGTTTTCTCTCGAAAATGACACATAAGAGCATCCACAGTGAGGGGGGTGTATGTTAAATATACACAGGGGCGGATCTATTAAGGCGCAAGGAGGTGCAATGTCTTTGTCTTTTTACTTTTATTTATTTTTATATTACTCCATTTACTTAAGTTTACAATGTAAATAAGGAAGTACCCCCCATTTGGATTCAAATAAAAATACTAGAAAATCAAATTCCCACCAAATCAAAATATGAAAATTCGGTTTTAGTGCAAAATACGATTTAGGCTAAAAATGATGGCTCATTAAGTCAATATATAATTCATACTAAAATCCCATAAAATCAAGTTTTCTTATTTGATGTATAAGGAATAAAAGCCGCCAAAAATTATCTTGAGAAAATGATTATTCCGAAAAACCATTTTCATACTTAGTCAATATTGCACCTCTGCTAAAAAATTTCTGGATCCGCCAGTGAATATACACCCCGAGTCACCGGAATTGTCTCCAATGGAGAGATGTAAATGGATGTAAATATACATCACTATCATGGAGATGTAAAATAAAATGTATATTTACATATATTTTTACATCCCTTGCAGGCGGGACCCACTCGAGAAAAGAGAAGAAAAATGAAGAAAAGTCAACATAAAAGGCTGGGACCCACGACTACACCCCCCATTGGAGCAAAAAACATATTTACATCCCCCGGAGGTGTAAAGGGGATATAAAAGTGACTTTACACGCCCGAATTTACATCCCCACACTGTGGATGCTCTTAGTTTTGACTTCCCCTCCTATAAAGGTGGAAGCCAGTTGCTCCTAGTTTACCAAGATCAGCTATCTCTGAGTTTCTTCCATCTCTCGCAGATCTTTGCTTTTCTCATTGTAAGAAAGCTCTCTAATGAATTGAATTTTCCCTATGATTTATATTAATTTCGTTTTTAATAATGATGGTTTAACTTTCAACAACTGTTGAAGCTAACACTTGTGGTTAGGGCAAGCCATGTTGCTGCTTTACCTTTACCGCCTCAACAAGTTTACTGGAATTCCGTCCTGCTGGGCACACCGATGCCAAAAGCTCTCAGTGAACTTGTCCAACCTGGTTTGTGTTTTTATCTACAACCTCTAATGAGATTCGACCATAAGCTAGCTTCTTCACTAACATGCATGATGCATGCATATCTCAGTTTAACTTCTTGAATTTGTAGGATCAGCGAAGAACTTCGATCGTTACGACAAACATGCCGAGGAAAACGTTCATATCTTGTGTAACCACGGGGCACCCAGGCAACTCCTTAAAGACCAATATGCTACCGAAGACAAGCTTCTTGTCTTCTACAACCACGGCGCTCCCAAGCAACAACTCCTTAAAGGCCAACATGCTGCCGAGGACAAGCTTCTCGTCTTCTACAACCACGGCGCCACCACCGCGGCCAATCAACTCCTCCATGACCAGACCCAAGTAGTTTTCTTCCTGGAGAAGTTTGGAAATGGTGGACCCCGTGGGGTTCTAGTTGTAAGAAGAATCCTATAAATAAAAGAGAGAATGCCATATAAGAATTGGCTGTTACTGTAAGAGAGGCCTTCATTAGAAAAATTAATTAACAATTAACTATGATTAACTGCCATATATATACATGCGCCACTGATTAGCAAAAAAGAGGCAGAAGAAAACAGTAGAGTAAAAATAAACTAAAATCTTTGACAACTAGAAAATGTTTGCTTAATAATATACACCAAACTTACTTCCAAATTAACAATCTAAGCTCGCTGTACCTCTACGAAACCTCAATTGTCAAAAAGCATTGCTTAACCAGAAAATGTAAAGTGACTAGAAAACATGTCCTATAGAAACTGCCTTCCACAGGGGCAGAGCTACTCATAGGCCAGTAATAGTTTCAAATGCACATGTGGACAATAACATGCCACTGCATGTAAATATGCACACATATTGACATTAGTGGCCCCTCCAATCACGTATATGGTATGTGAAATTTGTTAAACTTGTTTAAAAATCAATTCGAAGGCTTTGTGTTGCTACTTGCCACTTCTGTTCTGCTCGTAAGCACCCTATTTATAAGCACTCCATTTTTATCTCCGTATCAAAATTAAATGCTCCATTTCAAAACAAAAACTTCTGGCCACTGCATGCTCTCCATTTTTCCCATAAAAAAAGAAAGAAAGAACAAAATTTCAAGCCACATCATACACTGTGGTGTCATCGATAAGCAAATGGGCGGGGCTGGAAGTCTTACACCTAATCACGACAAGTATTGCAAGTTGAGATCCCCATACTACTATAAAGCTTGAAGCCCCATGCCATGTTGCTTACCAAACGATCAGCTAGATCTGAGTTTCTTCTTGTTAAATCCATCGATCCAGTAGCTTTTCTGTTGCATACTTGAGTTTCTTAAATGGAGTTCTGTCTCTCACACATAATTGTTTTTCTCACCGTAAGCTCTGTGTTTTAAAAATTCTCTATGAATTTCAGTAATTTTTTTTTTCATACTAATGATAGTTCAACTTCAACTGTTGCAGCTCACACTGTTGGCGAGGGCAAGCTATGCTGCTGCTGCCAGAGACCCAACGCAAAGAAGTTTCTTCTTGGAGAAGGAAATGCAACCCGGCACAACCATGAAATATAGCTTAGGTAGAAATATAAATGGGGAATGTTTCCTGCCCCTAAAAATTGCTCAATCGATCCCCTTCTCTTCAGCTAAACTGCCAGAAGTTCTCAACAAATTTTCTATGGAGCCAACGTCCGTGGAAGCCGCTGTAATTCAGGAAACCATTCAAGATTGTGAAAGTGGAACCCTTAATGGAGAGGACAGATATTGCGCCACCTCCTTGGAGTCAATGGCTGACTTCGCCATGTCCAAGCTGGGAAGAAACGTTCAAGCATTCTCGACAGAGGTCGAAAAGGGAGCCACCCTGCAGAAGTACACAGTAAAGCCTGGCGTGAAGAAGGTGAACGATGGTGGCAATTTCATTTTGTGTCACAAGCTGACCGACGAGAATGCTGTCTTCTTTTGCCACACATTTGGACAAACCAGGGCTTATGTGGTGCCTCTAAAGGGTGCTGACAGGACGACCGCTAGCGCAGTAGCAATCTGCCACCTGGACACATCTGCATGGAACCCCAAGAATCATCCCTTACAAGAGGTCAAAGTTAATCCAGGAACCGTCCCTGTGTGTCATTATCTTCCCCAGGGTCATATTGCTTGGGTTCCAAAATAGAAAGAAATGTCCCCTTAACCTTTGTGATTCTAATTGTAAAAGAATCCCATAAGAGGGCTAGCTACTTGTATGAGCTCAAATATAAATAAGAAGCAATAAGAATGCCCTAAGAATATGGGGTTGTTTTCCCTTTTTTCTTTAATTTTTGAATTTTTTTTGAATTTCCCATTCAAACTAATCTTTTCTTACCTGAATCACTTTATTTTTCTATAAATAAAATCCGATTTTTTTTTAGGGAGCTTTAGTTTTAAAACACAATATAGTTTACTAATTTGGAAGATAGGAATACAATTTCATCTAATTAGCATAAGGCCAAAAACCAAAATGTAGTGTCTAATTTTACAAAAATATCATTAAAAAATATCAAAATTACACACAATGCCACTCATTCTAATGCAAGCATACTATGCCACATGTCCATATCTAGCCAACCGCCACAGTTGGCTGGCCACCTGACACCGTCGGCCGGCCACTTGCCGTCGGCCACCATCACGGGCAAGCCGCCCGCCAGAAGAAAACAAATTATATAACACAGAGCTACTCACAGGCCAGTAGTGGCCATGGCCCCTTATAGTTTCAAATGCACATGTGGACAATAACATGCCACTGCATATAAATATGCACACATATTTACATTAGTGGCCCCTCCAATCATGTATATGGTATGTGAAATTTGTTAAACTTTGTAAACCACGTATTCACCTTGTACTTATTGTGACTCGAATCCAGGTAAGGGCCGACTGGGCTCGTACCTAGCCCCTGAGGAGGAGTTGCTTTTTGGAAGAAACCTGCACATTTAGGAAAGTATCAGTATAGGAGCGAATTGGGGTTGATCTCAGTTGAGCTCCCTCCGATGGTTAAGTCAGATCTATTTGGTGGTGGAGTAATGGATGTAGGGTTTACCAAGTGAGAATTTTATTACCTTTGTCCAGAGATAGGTGAGGGGTATTTATAGGGGGGAGAAGGAGAGACAAAGATACTGAATGAGATATTTTCCTCTCCCCTTCTTCTGATGTGGGTTACATTAAATGCCCCGCTTCTGATCACCATGCTTCTCTGACTGGGATTAGGTGGCGAAGTGATATGCGGTATGGGATGGGAGGTGCATTAACTGATCTCTTTTCATTGCCATGTTGTTGATCAGATTAATGGAGTGATTGATTCGATAGGAGGTTTGACTACGTCTGCCCATCATCAATGCGTTTCTGGCCCCACAACACCACCGTGGTCAGGTCGGTATTTTGGGTGCCCGAGCACCACCTCGCCCTTGGTCTTGTAAAGTTCCAACTGGGAGGCTCTCTACTGATCTCCGGGGGTATCGAGTCTGATCGGATCGGTGTATATGTAACCCAGCCCACCTACGGCTGCGTGGCATTCTCCAATAGGTTCGGCTCATAGCAACAGTATAGGCCATTAACAAACTTGAATAAAAATCAATTCAAAAGCTTGTTCTTTATAATTTGGCCCTTCCAAACTCAAAATCCTAACTCTGCCCCTTCGAATCATCACCTTTTAATATTCGTTGGAACACATCTTGATCAGTCTTTTTATTTTGATCGGCCATGGAAAGGTTGCAAAGAGCCCCATGTTCTTCCAACTTTCAATTTGACATATGCAGAGAAACTGGAAAATGAATTAATAATCAAATGAGGCTTTGTGTTGCACAGCAAAACATAAAAGATATTTACCAAGGAGTAATTTGACATGTTCTAGATTAGTAATCGATAATATGATTTGGCTTTGAGTTGCTACTTCTGTTCTGCTCGTAAGCACCCTATTTGTAAGCACTCCATTTTTATCTCCGTTTCAGAAATGAAATGCTCCATTTCAAAAAATAAAATTCAAGCCACTACTGCATCAAAAATCCCAATGCATGCTTTCCACTTTTTCCAATAAAATGGGTACGTTGCTCTTGTTACTTAAGCCAATGCATGCTTTCCATTTTTCTAATAAAAAAAGAAGAAAACAAAAACTTCTGGCCACTGCATGCTCTCCATTTTTCCCATAAAAAAAGAAAGAAAGAACAAAATTTCAAGCCACATCATACACTGTGGTGTCATCGACAAGCAAATGGGCGGGGCTGGAAGTCTTACACCTAATCACGACAAGTATTGCAAGTTGAGATCCCCATACTACTATAAAGCTCGAAGCCCCATGCCATGTTGTCACTATACGAAAATTGACTTTTAGCTTCGGGGAATCTCCGTTGCTAAAGGTATCCAACAACCGATGTATTGGGAATCGATGCATATGCTATAGTGATACGCTTTGGACATTCCCTGTCGCTAAAGATGAATTATGACTTCGCTCTTCCATAATCGCCGATGCCTAAGTTGTTACCATATGCCAAAAAGAGCGTTGACCTCCGATGCCTAAACCTTTAATAGCATCAGGGAATATATCAGCATTGATGCTAAATAGTCATTATAGCATCAATGGTTTTGTTTATACTGAAGTGTGTGTTGACTTACCACTTCAGAAAAGATGTCACTGTTGTTGCAAATTATGGTTTACGCATTCGTTTTTTGTACTTAAGCTGAAGTGAAAAACCAATAAATAGTTTGACTTTCTACCAATATTATTGACCTTAAAGATTATAGGCTTCGGTTCCCAGATAGTGTTGATGTTGTTTTTAATTTTTAACTTCAGTTGTTATGCCAAAACTGAGGTTGTTATTCACAATAGACATCCTTTGTTACTAATAAAGTGTAAGCAATTTCCACATTTCACATCATATTTTACTTAGTTTCTGTGTCAAAATATAGAGGCATGAGGCATCTCATCCATTTCATATATATTGCCATTGCAACATAAAAAAAACATCCCTATATAAGGTGCACAGATGAGTTCTGTCAGTAAACCAAAATCCATACATCATCCATACATAAATAAACAAAATACTACAAAAACAAGGAGAATGTTTAAACTCAAATCCACTCTAGGACATGACATGCCCATTCATCTCGAACCTCATCCAATTCCATTTGGGTGTAAAATGCCTTCTTTTTCCTACTTTTCGCATACTGAAATGAAATGAAAAGACCATATAAGATTAAGAAAAACTATATAAAATATGGAAACATTGCCAGAGCTGAAAAGAAACAACATCAAACAAAGGAATAAATTTTTTTTGGTATTTTAGGTGAACCCAATCATCCAATCCTTAACAAAGACTCAAAAAAACTGAAGGTAGGCTACAATAGAATTAGGGGCTACTCTTGAGTGTTTTTTTAATTATAAAGTTAATATAATCCAAAAGTAATGATTAATTGGCTAAAACAAGCATAATCTAATAAAGTAAGTTGGTTACCTTGGATTTGTACCAAATAATTTATTTTAGAACTTGAATTTCGGCTTTTAATATTGGTGGCTGAACCTAAAATAGAATAATGGGCTCAAAATCTTTTAAAACTATACCATTGTGATGCATTTATCAACCAACCATTGGATTCTCTATTTGAGAATATGAATCACGCAAAGTAAAAAACCACATGAAGACACAAAAAGCTCCAAACAAACAGCATCAAATTTACACTCTAAGCCATCCATTGCAATGGAAATTACAAGCACAACATTGACCTTCCATCATTTAAATAAAATTGCATCACAATATTTTCCATAGTTGCCAACAAAGAACCAAAGTTTTTTTACTAACTCTCAAAGACCAAACCAGAGTATTCAAACAGTTTTAAACAGAATGGTATCCAAATAGAAATAGTAAAAGCATAAATAAGGTTTAACAAGAAGCGATGCACAATCTTTAACAAGAAGCTAAAGAAAAACTATATAAAATCTTTAACAAGAAACGATGCACAATAAGGTTTTATATTTAACATTCATCCACGCAAAAAACAGGTCACCTCAAAGCTGTAACCATCCTTTTCGGCTATAATGCTCTACCAGTGCTTGCATAGTCTTCAAAAAAGCGAGAAGAGAGAGAACATTATTATGTACAACAAAGCTACCAATACAACCAACAGAAGCATAAAGTTAGATATAATGTATGAAGCATGTTACTCATCCATCAGAAACATTTTAGTACAGCCAACAGAAGAATAAAGATAATGACACATCAAATTCTACAAAAAATATCTATCGCAAAGATGCTCTAAAGACAAGCTACCTGTTGTAGGAAGGCAGAGTTGTTAGAGCCCATATAGCAAGAATCTATAGGAACCTGAAGTGGAAGAAAATCAATGACACATTTGACGTTCGTGAACCAAATGTTACTAGTAACAGAGAGCAGTTTAGAAAGTAGATAAGCAATAACAAAATCATAACTTTAAAGGCCAAGTTTGGATTTCTGGAAAGTTGAACAAAGTGTATATATTTTTCGCATGAACTGCCTAATGCTGAGATAGATGGAGATATAGAGAACGCGCAATCGGGAGGCAAGGCTAGATGGTTACTTGGCCAAATAGCTACAGATCATTGTCGTTGCCCACCAAACAGGAGAGAAATTTTGTATTTCAAATCAACTGATTGTATACAATCATCTTTTAGAATCAAATACAGAGCATATACGACACTAAGTTACATCTCTGCATTAGGAGTTAAAATTAAGAATGACCACCTAATCCTTGTTTTATTTTCAGAAAATTTATCAAAAGGGCTGTAAGAGACAAGTCACTTGTACTAAAAAAGTACCAAAATAAATGCCAAGAATCTAAGAAAGTATGGCTAAAATAAATGCTTCATTAATAATATCTGTAAAATTTTCCCATTGGATGGCTACTTTCATCTGCCTGAAAAGCTGATTTAAGTTCATCCAATTTTGGTTTCCTAATCTAGCCTTCGTTCTTCCATTTTATATTCAGATCAAGTCATAAAACCTATTGCAAGGAAATAACGCAGTAAGTACCTCAGGCTGGAAACGGAGCATGTCTGCACGAGCCATAGCTTCTGCTTGAGCAATTCTCTGCCTGAATGTCTGCGCCATCTCCTCCTCCTATTGGAACAAATCACAAACACATGATAAAACTTTAGCTTTTCTTGTCCTGTCAGACTACAAGATTATAAGACCATGTTCACTATGAGAAATTAATATCTATTGGGAAAAAAACACAAGAAGACAAGACCGATCTTCACTACTAGAATTAACAATCCCGTAAGTGCAACTAGTAAAGATCTTTGGAGTTTATTATCCAGAAAATACCTTCTCAAAGACAAGCTTTGGATTGCGAATCATATCTCCAGGAGTAGGTTCTAACTTCTTGGTAGAAAGACTTACACAGCCTCTCTCACGGTCATGGCTCAATATCATGACCTACACAAAGAGTAGCAGTTTAGAAATGCTTAACAGAGTGGCAACAAATTCTCAGCCAATAACTTTCCTAGGATATGGTATCTATACCTTGAGAGTGTCACCAGGTTGGAGAACTGTTGCAATATCAGAGACTCGGTCATGACTGATCTGACTAACATGAAGTGGGCCGTTGATTCCACCAATGTCAATAAAGGCACCACATGGCTTCAGGCTTTGAACAGTTCCCAGGACAACTGATCCAATTCCAAGCTGCGCTTGGTTCTCTGCCATGGCCTTACTGTTGCTTAGGACAAGCCTGGACTGTTCTTCATCAACCTCCACAAACTTCAGAGGAATCTCTTTATCAAGAAGCTCTTCTGCTGTTGATTTCTAAGATATACAAAAGTAAATGTGACAAACTCAGATACGTACTGAAACATTAAGGGCTAAATGTGATCAAAATTTAAAACTATGCTAGTGACAGCCGAATGCAGGATTGAAAACAATTTCGGGAGAAAGAAGCGAAAAATGTAATGGAGAATCACTGCCTGTTCATTTTGGCTATTATTACTTACAAGTTACAACTGTATTATTTTACCACATAATAAAATGCAATCAGAAAGATATTGTAAATATCAAGCTAAGAAGACGCTTGGAAAATTAGAAGCCAGGTTAAAGAACTAACTGTTGATATCTGTGAGAAAGGAACAAAACCTCTAAGGCCTTCCACCACAGCTACCACTCCACCTTTGTTCGCACCAACAACCTGCATAAATATATTTTAACAGAGCTTTCTAAGAATATATAGAATAAATAGTTAAACGCGTGAATTTGTCTGCAAAGAAGAAGAAGAAATTTGTATGGAAGATTACAATTTTTTTATTTTTGATGCTTCAAATATACAAGATAAAGTAAGATTAGACAGAAAGACAAAGAGACAACAATCCAGAAATTACCCAATAAATTGAAACCCTAACAATACGTTTGGATGAGAAAATTTAAAAGTACAAAGGATTTCATAAATGATAGAATTTAGAATGACGGAAATTAATGTTATAGAATTTGTAAAGTTTCTTGTTTGGATGATTGATTTAAAACATGGAATTTAACCTTTATTTGTAAAGTTACCGTTTTTTAAAACTCAATCTCTCTTGGGATTTTAGAAATGACGACTTTTAGATAGAATTTAAACTTGGGATTTATGATCTCCAAATTCCATGTTTTTTTCCACGCGGAATTTCTAAATTTCTATGTTTTTTTTTAATCCAAACACCGAAATTGGTTCATGTCAATTTAGAAATTCTGAGTTTTGTTAAAATCCCAAATTTATTTCCCTCATCCAAACGCACCATAACTGAAATAATCTCACCTAGAGGACGACGATGATGAGAAAGAGGACTCCGTTGGGGAAGAGGACGTTGACGACGAAGGTTAACGAAGGGACTCCGATGGCTCTTCTCGACGACGAGGAGGACTTCCATGGCTCTCTCTTTTAGGGTTTAGGAATAGATGACGACAGAGATGGAGCACAGAGAAGAAATCGGTGAAGAAGAGAGATGATGAAGGTGAGAGGGATGAGAGAGTGATTGTGACTGTGGGTATAGTGAGATAGGGTTAAGGGTGACTGTGGGTATAGCGAGATAGGGTTAAGGGTGACTGCGGGTATCACAAGAGAGAAGAAAGGGAGTTTGAAGGTGAGAAGGATGAGAGTGACTATGACTGGGTACCGCAAAAGAGAAGAGAGGGAGTTTAATTTTTGGCCAAAAATATAAGAGGGAGTCTCAAATATTCACGAGGGAGTGAAAATTTTTATAGAAAAATCACTATAGCGGTCAACTATGCTTTTGGCATCGGTGCTAAATGTACTACTTAAATTTGTTTTTTGCAAAACTATTTTATGCGTCAATATATTTATATGATAGATGCTAAATATAATCAACGACATCGGTAGGAAAAACCAAAAATTTGTACTGATGCCTTTATATACTTTTAGTCTTATTATTTATAAAACGATGCCTAATATACTAATAGCATCGGTTTTTCATTTCACCAATGCCTATGTAGTGTTGCGGAAAGTAAAATTTGGCATAGTTTGTTTACCAAACGATCAGCTAGATCTGAGTTTCTTCTTGTTAATTCCATCGATCCAGTAGCTTTTCTGTTGCATATTTGAATTTCTTAAATGGAGTTCTGCCTCTCACATATATAATTGTTTTTCTCACCGTAAGCTCCGTGTTTTAAAAATTCTCTATGAATTTCAATACATATATAATTTTTTTTCATACTAATGATAGTTCAACTTCAACTGTTGCAGCTCACACTGTTGGCGAGGGCAAGCTATGCTGCTGCTGCCAGAGACCCAACGCAAAGAAGTTTCTTCTTGGAGAAGGAAATGCAACCCGGCACAACCATGAAATATAGCTTAGTTAGAAATATAAATGGGGCATGTCCCCTGCCCCGAAAAATTGCTCAATCGATCCCCTTCTCTTCCGCAAAACTGCCAGAAGTTCTCAACAAATTTTCTATGGAGCCAACGTCCGTGGAAGCTGCTGTAATTCAGGAAACCATTCAAGATTGTGAAAGTGGAACCCTTAATGGAGAGGACAGATATTGCGCCACCTCCTTGGAGTCAATGGCTGACTTCGCCATGTCCAAGCTGGGAAGAAACGTTCAAGCATTCTCGACAGAGGTCGAAAAGGGAGCCACCCTGCAGAAGTACACAGTAAAGCCTGGCGTGAAGAAGGTGAACGATGGTGGCAATTTCATTTTGTGTCACAAGCTGACCGACGAGAATGCTGTCTTCTTTTGCCACACATTTGGACAAACTAGGGCTTATGTGGTGCCTCTAAAGGGTGCTGACAGGACGACCGCTAGCGCAGTAGCAATCTGCCACCTGGAACATCTGCATGGAACCCCAAGAATCATCCCTTACAAGAGGTCAAAGTTAAGCCAGGAACCGTCCCTGTGTGTCATTATCTACCACAGGGTCATATTACTTGGGTTCCAAAATAGAAAGAAATGTCCCCTTAACCTTTGTGATTCTAATTGTAAAAGAATCCCATAAATAAGAAGCAATAAGAATGCCCTAAGAATATAAGGTTGTTTTCCTTTTTTTTTATTTTTTATAAATAATAATAATAATAATAATAATAATTTGAATTTCTATAAATAAAATCCAATTTTTTTTTTTAATAAGTAAAATCCAATGACTAAGATTCAACCAAGCAAGTTGTTTGGCAAAAAATAGAAAAAGAGGGAAGTTTGGAAATGGTGGACCCTTTGTGGTTCTAGTTGTAAGAAGAATCTCATAAATAAAAGAGAGAATGCCATAAGGTTGTGATTGATTTATGGAAAGGAGGCGCCTAAGAATTAGTTGTTAATGTCTGAGAGGCCTTCATTAGAGAAATAATTAACAGTTAGACTATAATTAACTTAAAATCCTGGCATTGCCCCTTCGATCATCACCTAATATTCTTTGGAACACATCTTGACCAGTCTATATGGATCATGCACAACAGCTTTATATTGATTTTAATCGGCCATGAAAAGGTCGCAAAGAGCCCCATGTTCTTCCAACTTTCAATTGACATGCAGAGGAACTGGAAATTAAATGTTCTCTTAAGCATGACAACTAAGCATGACTTAAGCATGACAACTAATGTAATATTAAATTTCAGGCCAATGCATGCTTTCCACTTTTCCCATAAAAAAAGAAGAAAACAAAAACTTCAGGCCACTGCATGCTTTCCACTTTTCCCATAAAAAAAGAAGAAAACAAAAACTTCAGGCCACTGCATGCTCTCCCTCTTTCCCATAAAAAAAGAAGAAAACAAAAACTTCAGGCCACTGCATGCTCTCCCTCTTTCCCATAAAACAGAAAGAAAAACAAAATTTCTAGCCACTGGAACTCCTACACCTAATCACGACATGTATTTCAGTTGAGGTCCCTCTACTATAAAGCTTGAAGTCCCTATACACCTAATCACATCTTGATCTGAGTTTCTTCTTGTCAATTCCAGTAGCTTTTCTGTTGCATTCTTAAATGGAGATCTGTTTTCTCACACATAATTGCTTTTCTCACCGTAAGCTTGTGATTTGATATATTTTTTATTTGATTTTTAATTATTAATTTTTATTATTATTTAATTTTTTTTTTTTTTTTTTTTTTTTTTTTTTTTTTTTACCAATGATAGTTCAACTTCAAATGTTGCAGCTCACACTGGTGGCAAGGGCAAGCTATGCTGCTGCTGCCAGAGACACCACCTCAACTTCACTACTGGAACTCCGTCTTGCCAGGCACATCAATGCCAAAAGCTCTCAGTGAACTCGTCCAACCTGGTATGTGTTTCTATTTGCACATATCATGCCCTAGAGTGCCAAAAGCTCATCTTCCAGCATTCTACTTATAAGCTAGCTTCTTCAATAACATGTCCATCATTTATGTTGCCCATTAATACTGCAGACTCAGTCGAGCCACCCAAGAACTTTGTCGGTTACAACCAGCACGGTGTCGAGGACAGAACTCTCTCCGTCTACACCCAAGACGACGATACGCACCTCAAAGACCCAACCCAAAGAATTTTCTTCTTGGAGAAGGAAATAATACCTGGCACAACCATGAAATATAGCTTGGGTAGAAATATAGCAGGGGAAACTTTCCTGCCCCGCAAAACTGCAGAATCGATCCCCTTCTCATCCGCCAAACTGCTAGAGATTCTCAACAAATTTTCTATGAAGCCGGGGTCTGTTGAAGCCGCTGTAATTCAGAAAACCATTCAAGATTGTGAAAGTGAAGTCCTTAGAGGAGAAGACAGATACTGCGCCACCTCCTTGGAGTCAATGGTTGATTTCGCCATGTCCAAGCTGGGAAGAAACGTTCAAGCAATCTCGACAGAGGTCGAAAAGGGAGCCACCCTGCAGAACTACACAGTAAAGCCAGGCGTGAAGAACGTGAACGAAGGTGGCAATTTCATTTTGTGTCACAAGCTGACCTACGCGTATGCTGTCTTCTTTTGCCACACATTTGGACAAACTAGGGCTTATGCTGTGCCTCTGCAAGGTGCTGACGGAACTACCGCTAACGCAGTAGCAATCTGCCACCTGGACACATCTGCATGGAACCCCAAGAATCATCCCTTACAAGAGGTCAAAGTTAAGCCAGGAACCGTCCCGGTCTGCCATTATCTTCCCCAGGGTCATATTGCTTGGGTTCCAAACTAGAAAGAAATATCGTACCCTTTGTCTTTGTGGTTCTAATTGTAAAAGGAATCCCATAAGAATGGGCTAGCTACTATTGTATCCGCTCTAATATAAATAAAAATCAATTAGAATGCCCTATAAAAATGTGGAGTTTAGCCATCGCGATTGGTTGGGGATAGCAAAACAGTATTATCCCAATTCAAGTGCTTCTCAATTTTAGCATACGGCAAGAAATTTATTTAAGTATTGTTCTTTTTGTGTGTGTCAAAAGTTAGGAAGGGAAATGGGAAAAACTCACACACGCATACCACGGGAGTTTGAACTTATGACTACTTGAAAGCACACCAAAAACCTAGGTCAATCCAACTAACACCCCATTGGTATTTAAATATTGTTCAATTGACAAATATGAAAATCCTTCTAGTATATTACATGTAAGAGAACATAAATACTAGCTTATGAAGGAGCCAACGGGGCCTAGCCCGCTTGTATTAAACTAAAAAAAAAAGAAAAAAAAAGAAGAAGCTTATAAAGGTAAATACTCCGATATAACAATTTTGGGTTTTCATGCAAAAGAAAATTGTACAGTAAAAATAAACAAAAATCAATGATAGTAAAAGCATCTACAATCATACTTTCTATTTTTTAGTTAAAATTTAGCTAAAAACATATAAAATCTATTTTAGGAGCTCTCTATAAACTTTTAACTCCAATCAAACTGTCTAGTTTAGGGAGTCATAATTGCTATAACTCTTTTTTAATTGGTTCATCTCTATATAAATAAATAAATAACAATTAGCATTAATTATGATTTCCACCACCACATCCGTAACTGATTTAAGTGTATTATTAATGAAAACTCCTAATATAAGCAATGTGTCTTCTAATATAATTAACAAGCATTAATGAAAGTTCCTAATTTAAGTGATGCATGCTTTCTATTTTAATTAAATTTTGTTAGAGACTTATCATTTACAAACCTAAATCGTCATAATTCATAACCCAACTTCTTTCCATGGAAATATTAACCACAAAATATAAAGTGAAGTTCCCTGAATATATGAAATATTTATCATCAGAACATTTTGAAAAGAAAAGCTGCAAATTGACTAGAAAACATGTCCGATAACATTTCAGGCCTTAATAGAGGGGCCGTTTTGTGAGAATATATGTTTATTAATAATCACAGCATGCAAATTATGTTATTTAAATCAAACAAGTTGAGAGGTTACCTTGATATACACAAACCCATGGAATCGGCATGAACCATATGATAGCAGAAGAGTTGGTTAGAATTTAAAAAAAAAAAACTTAGAAAGATGAGAGATTACCCACTGAAATCGATAAGGTTACCTCATGCAGAGTGTAGTGAGACTTGCTACACAAACCCATGGATGATGGAATCGGCGTGAACCATGATAGCAAAAGACTGGTGAGGCTGGTTCAAGTGAAAATCGATGACGTGCATTTGAAAACCATAACAGGGGTTGGTCAGAACTTGAAAAACTTAGAAAGATGACCAAAGTACCCAGTGAAATCGATAAGCTTACCTCACGCAGTTTGTAGGGTTTTGCAACTTTGTCAGAAGGTCGATAAATTTGAGAAAGCAATCCGTGCTTAATGAGAGAGCTAAATCAAAAGAGATGAGAGTTTTGCACTGAGGAGAAAGGGAGATAGAAACTGAATTTAGAGTAAAAGAGGAAGGGGGGGACCAAAAGGGAAATTAGGAGGATTGGCACGTGAAAGATTAGTAAATGCGTGTCAAGGTGGAGAAGGTCTTGACTCTTGGTGCCGCGGTTCGATCAAGCTATATATGCTAGGGTCTCACAAGAAAAGGGATCCTCTGGATTTGGGGTGGAATCAATGTAAGGCCGGGCGAAACCCCAATACATGAGTCTTCCTTTTTAGTGAATGGTCGATTTGTGATTATCACATCAGATTGCACAATCAAAGGCTTTCTGGTCAATGTGGGACTGTCACATTAGACTACGTCATCAAAGACTTTCTCATCAAAATGAGACTATATCGCATTAAACTGCCAGGAGCGGCCCTGGGGTGGTGCAAGTGGCGCCACCGCACAGGGCTCCGAATTCTTGAGGGCCCCCGAAAAAAATATTTATATTTTATATATATTAATATTATATAAATTGTATATATATTATATTGTGCTAGACATTTACACAAGAGTGCGTATGGTGGAGTTGGTTCTAATACGTATTCACTTAACAAAACCGCCTGAGTTTGATTCTCATCGAAGTCCATCTATTTTTAAAAAAGGAAACATCGAAGCTTAGCTAACCACAAAATCAGTATATGCATCCCCCAAACACTTTCTACTCCCCTTTTTTTCTTTAAAATTAAAAAAAAAAGTTTTCTCCACCAAGAAAAGTACTCTCTTCATTCAAAACAAACAAAAAACATCTCATAGTTTCTTCTGATTCTCTAGTAAGTAATCATCATCATTCATCAATCTCTCTTTGGTTTTTTTTTTCAATCCTTTGACAATTTTTGTTATTCTTTCAATTTTAGGAATTTCAACACCAACAAAAGAAAACCCTAATTCCTAAATTCATAAAGACCACTCAAAATCAAATAGTTAGTTTAAAATCTCAATTAAAATTCAAGTATGTATCTAAATTTCAATCTATTCTATATATTACATGACTTATGTTATTAAATTGTTATCATGTTGGTGATTGGTTATATGAGAATATAGTTTTTAGAAATATTTATCTATTTCTTGCTGGGGTTTTCTTCTAGGTTATAGGGTTTTGGAATTTTTCTTTGTTAATGACATTTGTGTGCAACTACTCTTTAATTTGTGATTGCCAATTTTTTTTCTCCTATTAAACACACATTGCTTATTGGTGGCAACAAGGGACTTTATAGGGGCACAATGAGCTTATTATTTTTGTACCAAACATACTAATATTTAACTTTATCAAATGAAAACATTTAAATTTTTATGAATTTGATTTCGGATTTTCATTGCATGTTTATTGATAGTGACTTTTAGTTATAAAAAAATTGTTTATGACATTAAGTTGTGGCAAATTTTTATTTATAGTGGTTTCGTATTTAGATTATGTGATGCCTAAATTTAAGTTTTGCACAGGGCCCTCAAAATCTCAGGGACGGCCCTGTAAACTGCACCGTCAAAAACTTTCTTATCAAAATGGAACTATCTGTGATAGTATAGTAGCGTAAATGTAAACAAAAGTTGTTATATGTAAGTTGTTATTGTCAAAATGCAACGCGTTAATTCAAATATATATATATATATATATATATTAATACGATGTGCTAATTCTGGATATGCTTGAGAATGAGAAAATTCTCAATAGGGTAATTCCATGAGCAAAGATAGAATTGTATGTATGAGATGGCCAAACCGTAACACAAATATTGAAGATTAAAAAAAAAAATCAATCTTACAATAGTAAATAATATACAGACAGAAAAAGGAAAGTTTAAAAAGTTTGTCCTCAATTTCATGTATCAAAGTGGAAGAGTCTATAGAAATCTTGTTTTTTTTGGCAAGGTTGTTATTTTCATTTATTTGTTCGCTCTTATGCATAGGTAGATTGTTAGAGTTCATATTTTTTCCAAATCTGTTACATATGTGGTGGTGGATGTGACCGCGGCGGTGCTTCTTCAGGTGGTGGTGATAGGGTTCGTTTAGGCTCATGTGTTGTTTTAGGGTTTTGATTATGTTGGATTTGTGGGCTTTGTTTGGGCTTATGGTTAATTTGGTGATATGGGCTAGTAATTTTAGTGCGGTTTTTGTCTGCGTTAGTTTTGCTTTTAGCATTTTTAGTTTGTTGCCCTCTTGGGATGTACTTTAGATGTCTTGTGATGTTTTTGATTGTACCATTGAAGTTTCTCTAATAAAGTTTCTCTTTGATTAAAAAAATAATTAAAAAAACTAGATTGTCCTAAGGGTGGGCAAAAGACCAACCAAACGAAACCAATTAGATCATTGTCCTTCAGTTTTTACACACAAAAAAGTGTAATCTTTGATAGAGCAAAACTAAAACGCAATTTTTATTGTTACAATTCAATTTGCCCTACTTTTGGACCTCCAAAACTGAACCAAAGTATCTATATTAATTTCTTGCGTTAATGACAGTTTAATACCATGTAATTGCACTTGTTTATTTGCACACACTCAAATAGCTTATTTCACAAGTGTAGATAACATTTAAAATTCCTTAAATTACCCCAACTTAAACAAAAATGCTGCTACAATCCAATTTAATAAAATAAGTATTAAGTACTAGTAGTTCATTGAATACTTAACAAATTTGAAAATAAAAATTAAAAACACTCTTAACGATATTATCCCACTATTATCAATTATTATAAGTTTAGGGTTGTTTGATAACTATTTCAATTTTAGTTTTTACATTTTATTCTCTGTGTTAAAATATAGAGGAAAATGAGAGTGAGAATGGAAGTGATGATGAGATTAAAAGGGAGGATGAAAGCTGCCCATGATTATAGGGTAAAAATGCAAAGGACTCGTAGCTCAAGTGACAAGAACATTTACTCCTGCGCCTCATGTCATAGTATTGATTCTCCCCTCCGTTTGTATACCCGAGAAAAGAAAAAACAAAAAAACAAAAAAACAAAAACAAACAAAAACTCGCCAGAAAATGACTTGCTCACAAACCAGTCATACAATGAGTAAATTAATGTCTATTATAACTTTTTCTCCTTCTCAGGACCCACATAAACCATAATTCTATTATCTTCCTCTTTCTCAGGACCCACATAAAGAAACAAAAGTAATAATTTTTCCTAGAAACAGTCCAGTACGATTGTCTATTTCTCTGCAGTTCTTCAGGACAACAAAATTTTGGGTTTTCCAAGTCTCAAGTCATAGGTGTGTAGCTTACTTTTTGGTTTAAGATCAGCTTATTTGATTACCATGTGAGCTTGAATGCACATATTTTTAGTGGATCAACATTTTTTTTCCTCCTGTCCAAAAAAAAAAAAAAAAAAAAAAAAAAAAATTTTGAAGCAGTTCTTAGTTGTTTTAGTGCTAATTGTGAAGTAAGTTTTTTGGATAGCAAAACACATAATTCAGTAGTTAGTGAATATTTGACAGACACAAATTGTTTGGGATTATAGAGGCCCCATAACTTTTCCCTTTATTTCCTTCTGAAATGTCCATTATAAAATTGCAATGGATTTTCATCCAGTTCTGTAGATTCTAAGTAAAATCTATAGCCCTTTCCTTGTAGTTTCCGATGTTTATGTCGTATCATCTAGGATGGATTGTTCGAAACTCGAAAGCTATGATTGATCAATGTGTATGTTCCCAGGATAAATGGCCTCCGAACCTGTCAATGTGAATGAGTTCCGAGAATTGGCTAGGGAAGTTCTTCCAAAAATGTACTATGATTTCTATACTGGGGGAGCTGAGGACCAGCACACGCTAAATCAGAATGTTGATGCATTTCGCAGAATCATGTAATGTTTAAACCTGTTGACGAATACCGTCAAATACAATATATTTGCTTGAGTGATTCCTATGTATTTCTGTCAGGTTGCGCCATAGAGTTCTTGTAGATGTTAGCAGAATAGATATGTCAACTATAATGATTGCTCCTACAGCTAGGCATCAGTTAGCCCACCCCGAAGGTCTAAATCGTATTTGAAGAGTACTCAGTTGAGATTTGCTTTCAGACCACTGCTAGTTTTAACCTGCTCTTTATATTTACCACAGGAAAGGTCGCCACTGCTAGAGCAGCAGCAGCATGCAACACCATAATGGTATAATTGTAACATGTATTGAGCTAATACAGGTGTAGTTAGGTTTTTGAATTGTTGTATTTTTCATTGTAGGTTTTATCCAACATATCTACGTGCACTGTGGAGGACGTTGCTTCCAGCTGCAATGCTGTTCGGTTCTTTCAATTATATGTACTTATTCTCTCTTGAACTCATTTTAATTTCACTAGAAAAGTTTTTCTTTACAGGAATATTCTTCTTGTTTACAGTTTTTTAAGTTTCTATCCTGCCTACTGGGGCTCAAGCCATCAAATGGTACCTTTCCTGAACAGGTTTACAAGAGACGAGATATATCAGCTCAGATAGTTGAGCGCTGAAAAAAGTGGAGACAAGGCTATTGTCTTAACTGTTGATGCTCCCAGACTTGGTCGAAGAGAGGCAGACATAAAGAATAGGTTCATGTCATCTCATTTTGCTTGTGTTCTGCTTCTCCATGCCATGGAATTTATTGGTTTTGAAGTGTGATATAACTTGCTTTATGCCATGAAAGAAACTTTATGTGTAATATCATATCAAATGTTGTTTTGTTAACACTCTTATGTGGTTATGCATCTCATTGGAAACGTGACTGTGACAACTTCTGCAGAATGGTTGCACCTCAGTTGAAGAACTTTGAAGGCATTTTATCAACTGACGCAAACTCTGTGAGTGTAATTGTTTAGTTGTGAATAGGTATTATGTATTATTTTCTCGTAATATCGTGTTCTATTTGTACTTTAAAATGTTTAACTTGTTAAGCCTAGAAAGTGAGATGCTGCGCATCACTGCCTCTAAGTAAATTAATCAGGTTATTTGGGTTTTTCCATAATCCATTCTACTTATTATTCACCAGCTATTAGTGGAAATATGACACTTGTTCCAAATTCTATGCACAATCCTGTTACAGATTCTTGAGAACGTGGTCGAGAAGTGTTTTATTAACTGATTTTTCTTTTCACTATTTGATAATTTTTTAACAAACTAATCCAAAGAGTAAATCTTGTGCATTGTGATTATTCACAACATGAATGTCTGTGTGCTGATTGAAATAAGTTTTGCTTGTCAGTTGTATGATCCAAGTGAAAGTACATGTTTATCTATGTGGATGACACTAACTCTGCATGATGAAGGATCGAAAGTGGAAGCTTTTGTCAAAGAGACGTTTGATGCTTCTTTGTGCTGGGAGGTATGAATCAGTTGAGTCTTCTCATTACAGAGTCATATGATTCGGTGTTCTATGCTACAGATCTTTTTACTCTTAAGGCTAATTTTTTTATATTTTTAAATTTCTGTTTTTGGGATTACACTATGAAGATGCGTGATTTATACAGACTTTACTCAGTTGTAAGTTTGTAACTTTCTGCAGAGATTGAGGCTATAAGACATCCATTAAAGTGAAGTTTTATACTCATTTCTGGGCCTGTGTTCTACCTGGTTTCTTTGTTGAATTATAAGTTCTTAAGCTGACTTATTAGTTAGTTAAAACAGTTTTTCTTTTCCTTTAATTTTACAAGCCAAGTGTAAAGATCCTATTTGGATGTCTAAATGAATGGCTGAGATCACCTTGTGATGTAAGGGATCCAGCTACTGTGCCAAACGGTTATATTCCCTCACTCCAAGTGCGTGAGGCTGAGAGATTGAATAGAAATGAAAATTCCTCTGCTGCACGTATAGCAGAGCAGTTTTTGCCAGTCTTTCTCTTCTCGTTCCTTCTCTCCTTCGTCACTCTCCATTTACACACTCAAAACACTAACATTCTTTTCTTCTTAAATTTTTAGTTATTGCGTCGCGTATGCATGCAGGACATAGAGTGGTTGAAATCTATTACAAACTTGCCAATTCTGATCAAGGGAGTACTCACTCATGAAGTTGGTAAGATGTACTGATCAAGGCTCCAAATGATCGTATCTTTATCTTTACGTCTTGTAAGTATTAACTCATAAAGGGAAAGATCAATTTGCGTAAAAAGGAAAAGGTCTCGTAAGTGTTAACTTCTCCCGGTATTCAAGGCATGATGATCAGTCAAAATAATCGACTCGGTGAAATACATTGGATTGACACTTGAAGTCAAATTTGGCATTAGCCCTTCTGAATAGGTGTTCTTCTTTCTACCATTTCAGCAAGAAAGGCTGTGGAAGTAGGTGTTGCTGGGATTGTTGTCTCCAACCATGGAGGCCACCAACTAGATTATACTCCTACCACCATTTCTGTCCTGGAAGAGGTAGAACTCTATTTCTAATTCATAGTTTTCTGGTGTAACCTGTAAGCACAAACATGGCCTAACTTACGCATGGCTAAGCTTGTATAAAACCGAAATAGGATCTCAAGAAAAAAGGAGTCTTTAAAAGAAACTCTCCCATTGGAAAAGTTGTAAGAATGTTCAATCATATACATCCATAATGTTCTCAGGAAGTTGATGCTGTTGGAGGAAAAGTTCCTGTTCTGCTTGATGGAGGAGTAAGGCGAGGAACAGATGTGTTCAAGGCATTAGCCTTGGGTGCACAAGCTGTCCTTGTAAGATATCTATATCTATACAAGCTGCCCTTCTGATATGAACCCTTAAACTGCTTGTATTGTTTTGTATTTTCTTATTGAAATACAGGCTAATGTTGCTGCAGGTTGGAAGGCCTGTAATCTATGGCCTTGCAGCAAACGGAGAACACGGCGTGAGACGGGTTATCAAAATGCTGAAAGATGAGTTTGAGCTCACTATGGCCCTCTGTGGCTGCCCTGGTGTTATGGATATTACCAGGAGCCATGTGAGAACAGAATGTGATAAACTCCACTCCATGCTTTGATCTGTTTTAGAAGCATCAGAATGAAATTATGCAGAGAGATGGATGAAATGAGAATGAGGGCATCAATTATTTGGGAAACTGCTTCAATTAACAGCTATTGGGATTCAACTTGTTTTTTCTCTCTCATATTGTAATTCAACTTCATTAAACGGCAGGTTAAATTTATTTTTCCTATGGAAGTGATAGCATTACATGTGTCTACTTGTCACCGGAGAGAACCATCTTTCGGAAGTCAATTTCCTACGCAAGGTGTGATCAGCCTTTCACACCGATACATTCAAGGTGCTAGGCAGAGGACACTGCCGCGATTTCATCCTAATAGTAAGGAGTAGCCGCCAGGGAGTTGGGCGCCGCCTAGGCCGCCTAGCCCCCGCCTAGCGCCCGCCTAGCCCGCCTAGCGCTCCTAGCGCCCACCTAGCCCGCCTAGCACCCACCTAGCCCGCCTAGCCCGCCTAGCGCCCGCCTAGGCGGAGGACACTGCCGTGATTTCATCCTAATAGTAAGGAGTAGCCGCCAGGGAGTTGGGAGCCGCCTAGGCCGCCTAGCCCCCGCCTAGGCCACCTGGGCTGGTCTGAGATGGCGTTTTGCCGTTGAGGCGTCGACGCTTAAGGTGGCACTGAGGCGCTGCATGAAGAAAGACCAAGAGAGAGAGAGAGAGAGAGAGAGAGAGAGAGATGAAGTCGAAACAACGAGAGGAAGGAGTGTAGGCCACGCTGGGAAGAAGAAGACATCTACCCTAATTTTTAATATAACTAACGGGTTGGGTTTTGTAAAATGGGCTTAAAGGCTTAAACATTGTATTAAAATGGCCCTATATTTATAAAATAAAATAAAGTAAACTTTCTTTAGCAGTTTTTTTTTTTTTAATATCAAGGATACATATAACGTCATCTGACTGCATCGTCAAAGATTTTCTTATAAAAATGAGAGTGTCACATCAGACTACGCGCCAAAAAATTTATAGTTAAAGTAGTGTAATAGCATAAATATTACACGTGTTGAAATTTAATGATTAGTTTTTGTTTCTTTAACATATCACATTTTTTACTGGATTGGTTTGTCATACTATTATGCTATGTTATATATAAATTTTTGTCGTCGAAGCGTGTGACGCAGGGCAGTGTGTGTGGGGGAGCCAAATCATAATAGAGCGGAACCCAAAGCATTTGACCTTTCCAAGTGCTCAAACTTAAGCTAGGAATCACTCCGATCCCATCTGTCAGTTCCTTCATATAGTCTGGTTTCCAAGCCAGAAATCTACATTATTTCAAACCAATCAGCTCTACATATGATCACCTTAATGTAAAAAGTTTGAAATTAAATCAATCCGCTCCATTACTTATTGTTACTATGTAATTCAACCTATACTCGTAAAGCATGTTATTGCCAAAAATTCCAAGTAAAAATTAACCACACATAATTAAGGAAAACAAAATATATATAAATAATCGCATTTAAACAGGGAAAAAACTTACATGGGATTTTCTAAAAATCTATCTCGCGGGTTTAAAACAGGGGCAGCTTTGTGGGGGCAGAGACGTATTATTTATAAATTTGTATATTTATAATCACAACATGAAATTTATTTCCTTTAATCAAACAAGTTGATAGGTTACCTTGCTACCCAAACCCATGGAATCGGCATAAATCATGAAGAGTGATGTGGTAAAGAAAATCGATTTTCAAGCATTTGAAAACCATAACAGGAGTTGGTCAGAATTTTAAAAACCAAATTAGAAAGATGACAAAGTTACCCTGTGAATCCGATAAATAGAAAGAGATGAAAGTTTTGCACTGAGGGGAAAGTGAGATAGATATCGAGTGTGAATTGGCATGTGAAAGATTAGGAAATGGGTGTCAAGGTCAAGGTGTAGAGGGTCTTGCTTGGCAGTCCGATATCGTCATGCGTGCAGTACCATTCTATAATTTCTCTTCACAAGAAAATGAATTCTTTGTATTTGAAGTGGAATTAGGGTAATTGGGGTGGAACCGAAATACTAGGAGTCCTCATTTTTGTGAGAATATTTGCACGAGTGACGTAAACAGTACATGTTAAGCAAGATTATCTTGTCAAAGTTGGAGTGTCACAGGATAGGGGATCCTCCAGATTGGAGGTGAGATCAATATCGTGTTGGGTAATTTTCTTTGTTTGTGAAAATAATCGCATAAATGACATGATTAAAAACTGCATCATTAAAGACTTTCTCGTCAAAGTGGGACTGTCATGAGACAGTGTAATACTATAATAAAGATGATACATGTTAAAATTTGATGATTAATTTTTATTTATTGAACATCACAGATTTAGTTGGCTTGTTTTGTCATGATATCTTGCTACGTATCAGTTTTTGTCATCAAATATGATGTGTTATTTCAAATTATTTTATAATAAAAAAAAGAATAATGTGTTAATGCTACATGCTTGAGAATGAGAAAAGCTTCAGTGGGTAATTCATGGCACGAGGTAGTAGTATTGAGTGTGAAAATAATCCAATTAAGGAGGGTGTGTGCTCAAATTTAATTAAAGTTTTTATTTCTTAAATGTTCTCTTTTACTGTAAACCATCTGTATTAATTTCTTTCTTCTTCTCTTTTGGGTCAAATTTCTTCTTTTTTTAATGTTCAGCTTTAGGGTTGGTGGTGCGATGTGTCCTTTATCCGAGTTCCCGGAGCAGTTGGGTGCCAAGTTATTCATGTTATATTTTTCATTTCTATAGGGAAGCTAATTTTGTATCTAATCCCTTAGCCAAGATTGCGCTAAGTTCAAGTTGGGCTTTCCACAAATAGACTCACAGTATTAGTTATCAATGCAATATTATGTTTCATCCAACAAACAACATTTAATACCAAAACTACAATTCTAAGAATTTCTCCAATTCAGCATACGGTAAGAAGTTTATTCAAATATTGTTCAATTTACAAATATGAAAATTTATCCAGTAACGTAAGAGAACACAAATACTTGCTTAAAAGCTTATTAAAAGGAATATGGTTCGATTATTATGTAACCAGTTCGAGAACCAAACTGAATTAATCCTAACGGTAATCTTTTCGAGAAGATGACTTTGGTTTTCTCACTGTAAGCTCTGTAGTTTGAATTTTCCCTATGATTTTAGTTCAATCTTATATATAATATACACACATTCTTTGTCTCATACTGATGATAGTTCAATTTCAACTGTTGTTGCAGCTCGCACTGGTGGCAAGGGCAAACCATGCTGCTGCTTTACCTTTAGTACCTCAACTGCTTTACTGGAACTCCATTCTGCCAAACAAACTGATGCCGAAAGCTCTCAGTGAACTTGTCCAACCTGGTCTGTGTTTGTATTTACAACCTCAGACTCAAGAGAGCTCCCTTATTCCACCGTTTTACTGATAAGCTAGCTTCTTCAACTGTAATGTATATTTATGTTGCTAAATAATTTGCAGACTTTGTCGGACCAGCCGATAACTGTCAGTTACAAAAAAGATGATGTCGCTGCCACTGACAACCTTTTCTTTGGTTACAACGAAGACGCTGCCACTGCCGCTGCTGACAAACTTTTCTTTGGTCACAATCAAAACGTTGTCACTGCTGCTGACAACATTTTCTTTGGTTACAACCATGAGGCTGCTGTTGGCAATCAACTCCTCAAAGACCCAACCCAAGTAGTTTTCTTCTTGGAGAAGGATGTGCGACCTGGCACAACCATGAAATATAGCTTAGCCAGAAATTCAACTAGGGCAACTTTCCTACACCGCAAAACTGCGGAATCGATCCCCTTCTCATCTACCAAACTGCCAGACATTCTCAACCAATTGTCAGTGAAACCAGGGTCCGTGGAAGCCAACATAATGACGGAAACCGTTCAAGCTTGTGAAAGACCAATCCTTAGAGGAGAAGAAAGATATTGCGCCACCTCTTTGGAGTCGATGGTTGACTTCACCACCTCCAAGCTGGGAAGAAATATTCAAGCAATCTCAGCAGAGGTCGAAAGGAAGGGAGCAACCATGCTGCAGAAGTATACAATAAAGCCTGGTGTGAAGAAGCTGGCAGGCAAAAGACTCATTGTGTGTCATAAGCTGAGCTACCCATAGGATGTCTTCTACTGCCATGCAATGGGGAAAACAAGGGCTTACATGGTGCCTCTGGAAGGCGCTGACGGGACGAGCGCTAAAGCAATAGTGGTCTGCCACGTAGACACATCTGTATGGCACCCAAAGAATTTTTCCCTGCAAGCACTCAATTGTAAACCAGGAACCGTTCCCGTCTGCCATTTTCTTCCCGAGGCCCATATTGCCTGTCTTCCAAACTAGAAACCTACATTACTTGAATCCATATTGAATGCATCGTAGCAGTTTAAAAATGGGACCCTTGTGGTCAGTTGTATGATACCAACTCCAATAAAAAGAATGAATTAATGCCATAAGTATATGGGCTGTTAATGATTGGCCTGGAAAGGTTGCAAAGAACCCCACGATTTTCCAACTTTCAATTTGACTTGCAAGGGAACTGGAAAAGAAATAATTAAATAAGGCACCGTAAACATATGTCCTCAAACTATCAAATATAAAGCAACGTATCCATATACTTAAAAATATACCAAGAAGCGAAACAGCATTTTCCATGCTTGTCCGTAACAGCAAAGCAGCTTCCTTTATCACAGAAGGATCAACTTCCAGTACTAATTCATCATGTACCTGGATAGAAACCACCAATAGTTCTTAAGCTCACAAGTTCGCAACAACATTACATAAAAAACACTGACTTGCAACTGAATCAAAAGCATGGTGCAATAACAAAGCTAACAAAATAAAGTAACTTAGAAATTCCATATATTTTATTAGTTTACTTATATCTTCTTCCACATTTCAAATTCCCCTAAGAACTTCACGAAAAATAATAGAATAATAAATGGCAAGAAATTTCCCAAAGCAACCTGTAATAAAATTCTGCAGCGGCCCTTCAGTATATGTAACTTTGTTGCAAGTTGAGAAGTAGAATTGGGCCTTTCAACTCCTTCTACTATCACGGAGTATATATTTATCATTGCAATCTTGATTATGTCAGCAGCAGATCCCTGAAAATGGAAGACATCAGTACAAGAATATTACAATTTTGTGGTTACCTTTAAACCCCCACACCCCTCATCCCCACAGAAGGGAAGGAAAAAGTTGTACCTGACATATAGAATTCACAGCTTGTCTCTGAGCCTTCGACTTTTCTTTACTGTTTCCAAATTTTATTTTTGACAAAAATCGTTTTCTTCCCTTAAGGGTTTCGATGTATCTGCACAACAATGCAGATAATCAACAACAGTTGATATAGCTTTAAAGAAATGTTTACAAAGTGCAATACATTTTCTTTTACTCAGAAAAAAAAAAGAATGCTTAAATTAAATCAACATCAAGAAGTATTTGTTATGAAGAGATTCTTCTTCCAAAAAATTTCCAATTATCACTAAGGGAAGAAATAAAAAATTCTGAGAGCCAAACAAAACACATGAAAACAATGCATAAACTTTTTCCTCTTAGGCCAAGAAAAAATAAATAAAATCACTTCATAAATACAAAAACTATTCACACTAATCGTACCGACAATCTGCATATTTAGAAGGAAAAGTTAATATGATCAAAGAGTTGAGTAATCAGACAAAGAATAGAAAAAGCCTATGCAATTGTAAGCAATAGAAACCAGAATCCTACATGGTGTTAGATATAATAGCAACCTTTTCTTAGACGAGTTCAACTAATTATAGCAACAAGGAAAATAGTAAGATGTCCCCACCCTTTCTTACGGCAATATGCAACTGCTTCATTGAGCCAAGAAGCAACTCCAGGAAAAGAACTTTTAAAGTTTTGTATTTTTTCAGAAGCTTCTTCTGGACTGCAGTCGAGTTGTTCTGCAAGGCTGTTAGCACCCATTCCATAAAGAATGCCATACACCAACCTTTTGGTCTGATCTCGTACATGAGAACTAACAGAATCTTCTGAAATCCCAGTCCATCTAGCTGCTATCATGGTGAAGACATCACCTTCGGGCTTACTAAGGGGTTCAATAAGTGCCGAGTCTTTAGAGAAATGTGCCATCAGCCGCAATTCTATCTGAGAATAATCTGCAGTTAACAGTAACCAGTTGTCCTGCAATAATAGGAAGAAAAAAAATCAACTAATGTACACCATGGAGTCGCAAAACCCAACCCCTGCTCCTTCCTAACATCCCACAAACACATTCATCTATCTAAACATTATGTATCTTTAACCCTCCGCACATCCTCATTTCCTAAAACCTCAAATCTCCATCACATATAGCTTCACAGTAAAGTTGGCCTCCCCTTCTCTCCAGGTGAAGAAAAAGAAAGGAGTATTCACTCTCCACGTTGTATTAAAAAACATACTGAACCCTTGTTCCACATCGTTACTTGTGCACTGTCAAACACTCAAAATGGTAATAAATTAAGATGTATACAAAATGCTTCTTGACAACAGCAGCTATTTGCAAGAGAAACAGAGCTTTGGGGAGAGAGGGGTATTACTGTCCAGTTTGCCTTCCTGGATAAATCTAATAATAATACAAAAATAGCCTTTAAAGACATTAACAAGATAACCATTACCTGAGTAGGAATAAAGTAATCCCGAGCATTAATGTTGTAATAATCAACATTAGTTTCGCTTCCTTTTTCATCCTTGTGTATTTTGAAGTCAACCATATGTTCAACACACTGCATATATCAAAACATATATAATGCGATAATTCATATAACAATTAAATTCAAGTTGTTAACAACTGGAGGAGTGGGAGGATAGAATAAAATGACTCATGGGAAACCCAAACCTGGAGATTAGGTTCCTCCATTGAAAGCCGACCAGTTGCTGTTGATGTTTGGAGCCAATGACCATGTAATGTGTACTTCTGTGTCTTCACGGATAGCCTACCGAGCGAACAAATTGATCCCAATGTACAGTTTAAGAGTTTTGCCAATGTCCGGTGCTCTTTAATGACGGGAATAATAGGATGCTCGTCCCTGAAATGAAACCAAAGCTTCCTAATATCAACGGCTTGGTGGTGTACATCAAAATAGAAGAGAAAAATCACAATGTAACAACAATGATAAAAGAACATTAATCATTAAATAGATATATGACGGATGGGCAGAAGCAGCAGTTTAAGAATTTAAAAGTATCACGTGTGTATTCACAACTCTCAGCATGTGGTATTCCCTGTTCTACCCAATCTAGATTGGAAAAATCTATTGGGAGTGGGTTTGAATCACATTGGAAAGCCATTTTTTAAATGCAAACCCACAAGAAAACTTATACAGCTTCATCTAGCATCCACCAAAATAAAAAATATAAAAAATAAAAAATCCAATGCCATGTATTTGGACCTTAATACAACACTATCAGAATAACCTATTCTTCGAGGAATATATGAAAATTCTAATCCATTGATGGTGCTCATAAGAACAACAAGAAACAACCAAAAACAATAATATTCACAAACTAAAAGGACATTTCTTACACCCTACTCTGGGGTACACACCACCTCCTCAACTTGGCATATGCAAATTGTGGTTTCCATTTCCAGACAGCAATTACTAATTTGCCTCACTATCCAAAACATTCATGTCCTAACTTTTAGGAAACGTTTCTTCCACAATTAAAGTTTAGACTTCAAACAATGAGATGCTGATATCAAAAGATATAGATATTCAAGTGTGCATGCATGAATAGTCAAATACTATCTCCTTCAAATGTCGGCTATTTAAACATAACAATCTAGACAGGATGGAAGTCTCTATGGAACCAAATAAGTAAATAGACAATCCTATTAAGTAGAGGGAGAGAGTATAAAGTATTCCAATAGCTAATCAGCACACGTGAATTCACCTTAGATGGGTAAGGTTATGAGGTATGATAGAAGAAGAGAAGTCTCGCTAATACCTTAATAAATCTAAGCAATGCTTGTCCGTACTTGGATGTTGTTTCCCCTTATTGCGCCCTTCTGGTATGGGCAGCTTTAAGTGTCCATACAACACATTAGCAATATCTGCTGCTGTATATAATGAAAATGTCATGCCAGCCAGTTTATAAGCTTCCTTCTCAAGCTGCCTTAGCTTTTTCCCCAACACCTTGCGTGCTTGCAGGCATCCCTCCATGTCAAGACCCACTCCCCACAGCTCCATGTCGGCAAGAATATTAACCTAGAAAACAAACAAGCAATAAGCTAGTGTCAAGGTATCTACCCAAGGAAGAAGTATAACTACTGGGTTGGTGGTTCCAACTTCCAAAGAGAATAATGTACATTTCCTTCCACACTTAAGGTTGGGCAATGGGCACTGGTTCTCAAGCACCCGACTAAAACAGTAGCATGCATTAATACATGCAAAAGCCACTACAGGAGTGACACACATAAAATATTTATTATTGCCAAAACAAACAATAGCAAACCTCTTACATAGAACTTCTCTAAATTTTGACATATTTTCCCTTTTTCTTTTCAAAGAAGATCATTATTAAAAGAATGATGCAACGAGAGAAAACAATAATTACACAAAGAATCCAGCAATTTCAAGTCTAGTTTTCATTGCAATCACAAAACTGTTTGATATTTTGAGTCCCCAAATAAAACGAAACCCCCTTGAGAAAATAAAATCAGATATGATGGAAGAACTGACCAACGGGATTTCTATATTTACGAGTGCCTCAGTAAGGCCTTCAGAAACAAGTAACTTCCAAAGAACAGAACATAAGGCTCGTATTTGTGCAACCCGACGGCAGCAACCATTATGTGCAGCTCTTCGCATCTGATTCTTCCACCTGCCATTCCGATTTGCAGCTGCTGCAGCCTCACTGGATAACCTTTTCTTAACTTCCTACAAATCAAATTTTAAGGTTTAAATGCAAATTGAACAATGATGAACATCTGAATATTAATTGAATGAAACAATTAAATGGTTAAATACTTTTGCCTTTAAGAAATGTTTTCATGGAAATGATAAAGTATCTACCATTATTTTAAAAATGAACAAGGAAAAAGGAAGAAATCCTCTGAGAAGACAAAAGAACATGCTTGATCATGGAGTAATGCTAACATT